TACATCATGATAATTTAAAAAATTATCAAGTTTTGTCTTTGTTTTATTTATTATTAGTCTGTCAAATAAAATGCTTAAACTTCAAATATATTTAGCTTGAACTGCCTTTTTTAATCTTTAAATTTTAGACTGGATTTTTATTTTCGATAATTGCAAATTAGCGATGAAAATTTAATAGTAAATAATAATAATATATCGATAAATAAAATCGCTCTAAATCCATCATCACCAAGTCTTTATTGTTTTATATTTTTTCATAGAATCTATTATAAAGAATTTGAACTTTATCGCAAATGTACTAGTATAAATTTACAACCCATTTTTTAATTTAACATCTTGGATTAGGTTGAATTATCAATATCAAATCCTTATTTATACATTGAGTTTAATATTTCTATGACATTGCCTTGAAAAAACTTCTAATAGCAACTTTGTTCTGTCAGAGTAATAATAAGAAAATGGAGAATGCGGAATGAATGGATGACTTTAAGATAAGTGTCTATCACATTTATGACGATAGATATCTAAAAAACCTAAATGGGCTATGACATATTGGATATGAAAAGAGAGTAATAGTAGAGAATTAAACTAAAATATCATGGTTACTTTAAAAAAGGTAATTCGTGAACTTCAATATCAAATTTACAGTTGTGTGATACATTTTTATAGAAAATTTAATTTGAGATTTGGTATAGATGGTTCTTATTGTAATAAAGATAATAAGTGTTATTATAGAGCCTTTTGGAGAGTAAAGAGAACATCAAACTGAAATTTTGAGATTTCTGATTTTAAAAATTAGAATATTATTTATTTATAATAACAGAAAAAGAATGCGATCATTATATCAATATTATAGTAGTAGAAACCTTTTTATAGGTATCTAATTGGTATGAATTTAGCATGTTGTTGTTATTTTTGGAAAAATTTCTTTATATATAAGATGATGAAAATTGCATTTATTAATTAATTAAGTTCAGCCCAACATTGATGCCTCTTAGACTTCCAATTATTTATTAACATTTTTTTATACTTTCAAAATTTGGCTTATAGTCTAAATTTTTATTTAAATTCTTACTTTTCTGCATAAATAACACTCATTTGATTTTTATATCACATCTTCAGCGCACTGTTAACAGATGCCTCCATGACGACATGGTACAAAAACTATATTTGGAGTATTTTCATAGCAAACAAGACATTTTTCTTAGTTCTCACTTGATTCACCATCAGATTTTATAGATTTGATAGACCGAGCTGGTTCTTCTTCTTATTCTTATTTTGAAACAGTAACTGGAATTTCTTCTCTTTTTACTTTTACTTAAATTAAATGGTTTATTTAAATACCATTATCAGTAATAGCAGGTTTTTGTATATCTAAATCAAGTTCATCTTTTTTTTTATTGATAATCATGGAATTACTGGCTACAGGCTTTTAGAGTATTTTTTTCCAAGTTTCTCTCATTGTTGAACCCTATAGATTAGATCTACCCGATTCTAAATCTTAATGAGATTTTTGTCTTTTTTTGAATTCAAATGAGGCTTTATCAAGAACAGCAAAGTAAGTACAAGATAATTTTATCAGATATAAAGGGATTCCTAACTTCACAAATTCTAGTTTCTTTGTTTAGTGTGGAGAATTAAGTTATCTTGAATTTGGAGATTGTACTGTTTATTATTAATCAATATCATTCTAATCTGAGATTCCTTAAACATCTTTTAAATAAGCTCTAAGAAAATATTGAATAATATTACTTAATTTATTTGTAAAAACAAAGTGTGAAAATGAGAAGAAATAATGAAAACAATGTGATCACTACTATATATTTAGCAGTTTCAGCAAGGCTAATTAATTGATTACCCTCATAAAATTCAGCTGTTCGTAAAATAAACAAAAAAGGAAACAATGTAAATCCAATGAGCATTATAAATATCCATAAGTTTCCTGCCACTAAAAAATACTTAAATATATACAGTAATGACATTGCTATTTTTTTTTTATTATGTTAACTAATGTTTCAATGCAACTGACGAATGAAATGAATAATAATAATGCACAAACTACAAGAAAAACCCATAATAAGAGAAAAATCTAGATCCAAGACCAAGAAATCTTTGATTCCCATTTAAGTGTAATTAACAAAAGTTGGAGACAACACATACTTTTTAGGAATTATAATATCTCATTATATATAATTATTTTACTAATGCAGCACTAGTCTTTGTTGGTGCTTTGATTTTTTAGACCAGTTTCATTATTAGGAGTAAAGATGAAACTGCTAACATCATAATAGTGATGAAATAGATCTTGAATTCTTGAACTTCATAATAAAATACAATAAATATCTAATAAAAAATTTGTGCATACTTTAAAGAAGAATAAAAACATGGTTTCTATGAGTTACCAAATGCAATCATCTCCTTTTCTGTAGTTATAGTATATCAGAATAAAAATTGTTATTAAGTCCTATATCCACAATTATAAGAGCACATATCGATGACTATATTTCCAATGCATATAAGTAAAATAATTAACAAAGAAAGCTTATAGAAATAGATTGAACATAAGAGACTTGATCATTTAGGCATGACAAGAGATTACCTAATTTGTATTTTGAATACCTTGTCATCTGTAAGAGTAATAATGCTGTTTGAAAAATCTTGTTCCCTATTTTATACTTATCTTGATTATCTATTTTTATTTAAATACTTCATACAATTCTCTAAAAAGGGGTAGGTTTTAACTAAATGTTGGAGATAAAAAATTTCTTCTTCTAGTTGACACTTGTTAATCGTCTTCTATTTGAATTTACGAGGGTCTCATCCTAACTGATCCCAATTATGATTCTGGCATTTAGCTACAATTAAAAATAAGTTTTACATCATAGTTTTTGAGATAATATAGTTTATTATCAATAATAATTCAAAAACAATATAATTATTTTTTCATTTTCTCATTAATATAATCTAAATATTCAAATAATCACCACTTATGTTTAAGCTTCACTTCCTACAATCCCTATGACTTCCAAAAATCTAATTTGCATTGCTGCCTTACTATTTAACATTTCTGCAGCTTCCTTCATCATTCTCGTAGATTAAAGAGTAAATTATGCATTGAGAATTTTTGCTTAAGCTGCTCTAAAAATAATAGGATTGTAATAAACCTTTTTTCTGTTGCTGCTTTTGCTAATACATTCTATGTATATTCATCCATTTAAATATCTCTTATCATAATTGCTTCTATTTCAACACCCCAATCGATTGTGATTGGTTCCAAAAACTCTTTTATGAAGATTTAAATTTCACTTCTTTTTTCAAGTAAATCCTAAAATGTAAAAGCACCAATGACACTTCTAATTGACGTTTAAGTTAACCCAATAAGTCCTTGATCAATTTCATATATATTGCAAATCAATCTTTTTGGCTCTACAATTCTCATATATAAAGAAGCACTAATTTCAATTTAAATGTTGTCTTTTGTTATTACTGATTAATTTTCAAACTCCACCATCTAAGTCCTACAATCAACAATATATAAAGTATCAGTACAAGGATTAAACTGGTTTATTCCAGCAAAAGCTAATAATATAAACAATTTTAACTTGTTTTATAATATTTTCCAAAACGCAAATGAACACCAGCAAATCCTTATTATATCTAACGAAATGTTTTTCCTACAACTATATTATTTGGGCAATATGTTCCAATACACTTACAGCATTCTCCAAATTTAAATAAAAACTTTTAATATATCCCATTAAGTTCTGTTTCATCTCCTAATTCATCTAATTCCTCTCTTTAATATTTGACATTGTTATATTTATTTTCGTTTTAGATTTCCTCTTAATAAGTTTGAGGATAGACTAATTTTAATATATATGTACCTTAATGTTTATGATATTTAAAATAGTTTCTCCATTTTTTAAATAATATAATTAATGATTAATAAATAAAGTAAGGGGTATCATTTGTCTTTAAGTAAAAGTGATGATCTATTGTTTGTGCATGATGTGGATTAAGAAAAACAATAAAATTTTCGTGAATCTCAATTAAGAAAAAACAGTTTACACAATTTTGTTTTATAGATACCAAAAAGAATAACATCATGGAAGGAACTCGCATAATTCTATTACATTTAAAAAAAGTAAAATTGGTGTATGTATTTTTTCTTTAAATTGCAGTCATACTAAGAAAAAAATTCTAACTCAAATTTTATAATATAGGTATAATGCTTATATGACAGAATACATAATCTAAAAATAAAAAATTTCATTGGAATAAAATATATTAATTTGTATTGGGTTTAGTAATTGAAAAAATTCATTAGTTTGAGGATTAGTATAAATCCTGTTCTTGCTTAAAGATTCAGAAAAGTAATTTATAATAGGTTGTTCCTTTATAAATTGATGAAAAATAATAAATTGAATAGTTATGAAGTGGAAGAAACAAGATACAGAATAAATAAATTAATCGAATATAAATGAAAAGACTGATTTTTAGTATAAGAAAAAGAATTAAAAGATAATAATGATTACTGTGTATTTGATTAGGTGAGTTTAAAAATAAATAAAAAGTATTAAATTGTAAAAATTAGTTTTGTTATGAATGCATACAGAGTTATTTAGATAATAAAATTAAGATTGTTCATGTTTTAGAAATTGAATGCCCTCAATAAGGATGTGGCAATTATTATTATGATGAAATCATAAAGGGCTTAGTTAATGATGAGTAATATCAAAAATATGATAAATTCAAGAAAAAGAGATTATTAGAAAAAAATGAGACTGTTAGGTGGTGTATTTGAAATGATTGGTGATTTAATGTTGTCCAAGATGTAAAGCACCAACTCAAAAGAAAGAAGGTTTTAATCATATGACATGTTATAAATTTCGATTCCAATTTTGTTGGTTAAGCAGAGCTAGATACACACAAGAATGCATTTGGATTCAGATAATTGCTTTGGATGTCCAGGTAATAGAATTTTATTTTTAGTAAGAAAGATAATTTTCTAATGAAGAGGTCTATTCTCGATCAAGATGGAAGAAGTATTGAGGTATCATTTTCGAATTATTTGCCACTATATTAATTCTACCTTTAATTCCATTTATTTTGATCTAATATAGCGTCATGACTCCACTGAAGTTAGTAAACATTTTAATCGACAATATTATAAACAATTAGAAGATGGGGATAAAATGTGTTTACTCATAGTCGGAATATTATTTTTCCTGTAATTTTAGTGTTCTTGATCTTTCCAGGACTACTTCTATTAGTTGNGATATTTAAAATAGTTTCTCCATTTTTTAAATAATATAATTAATGATTAATAAATAAAGTAAGGGGTATCATTTGTCTTTAAGTAAAAGTGATGATCTATTGTTTGTGCATGATGTGGATTAAGAAAAACAATAAAATTTTCGTGAATCTCAATTAAGAAAAAACAGTTTACACAATTTTGTTTTATAGATACCAAAAAGAATAACATCATGGAAGGAACTCGCATAATTCTATTACATTTAAAAAAAGTAAAATTGGTGTATGTATTTTTTCTTTAAATTGCAGTCATACTAAGAAAAAAATTCTAACTCAAATTTTATAATATAGGTATAATGCTTATATGACAGAATACATAATCTAAAAATAAAAAATTTCATTGGAATAAAATATATTAATTTGTATTGGGTTTAGTAATTGAAAAAATTCATTAGTTTGAGGATTAGTATAAATCCTGTTCTTGCTTAAAGATTCAGAAAAGTAATTTATAATAGGTTGTTCCTTTATAAATTGATGAAAAATAATAAATTGAATAGTTATGAAGTGGAAGAAACAAGATACAGAATAAATAAATTAATCGAATATAAATGAAAAGACTGATTTTTAGTATAAGAAAAAGAATTAAAAGATAATAATGATTACTGTGTATTTGATTAGGTGAGTTTAAAAATAAATAAAAAGTATTAAATTGTAAAAATTAGTTTTGTTATGAATGCATACAGAGTTATTTAGATAATAAAATTAAGATTGTTCATGTTTTAGAAATTGAATGCCCTCAATAAGGATGTGGCAATTATTATTATGATGAAATCATAAAGGGCTTAGTTAATGATGAGTAATATCAAAAATATGATAAATTCAAGAAAAAGAGATTATTAGAAAAAAATGAGACTGTTAGGTGGTGTATTTGAAATGATTGGTGATTTAATGTTGTCCAAGATGTAAAGCACCAACTCAAAAGAAAGAAGGTTTTAATCATATGACATGTTATAAATTTCGATTCCAATTTTGTTGGTTAAGCAGAGCTAGATACACACAAGAATGCATTTGGATTCAGATAATTGCTTTGGATGTCCAGGTAATAGAATTTTATTTTTAGTAAGAAAGATAATTTTCTAATGAAGAGGTCTATTCTCGATCAAGATGGAAGAAGTATTGAGGTATCATTTTCGAATTATTTGCCACTATATTAATTCTACCTTTAATTCCATTTATTTTGATCTAATATAGCGTCATGACTCCACTGAAGTTAGTAAACATTTTAATCGACAATATTATAAACAATTAGAAGATGGGGATAAAATGTGTTTACTCATAGTCGGAATATTATTTTTCCTGTAATTTTAGTGTTCTTGATCTTTCCAGGACTACTTCTATTAGTTGTGTATAAAATAAAATATGATTGATTATAATTAAATTGTACTCATATGTAACATTGCTTGTTTGGCAGTGATCTTATAATTATCAAAAGGAAAATGTTAAAATTAACAGAAATTATGGATTCAACTTGCAATTTTTGTGAGTACCAATATGTACATAAACCACTAAATTAGGACTTTGCAGTCATCATCAAAAAAGCACTCTATGAGAAGTATTCGTCTTCGCAGAATTATACTTACATTCGAATCATCAATGATCTAATCTTCGCTCGTAGAAGTCGAATCACTAATACATTTAAAGACTATCTCTTTTGGGATTATCATGATGAGTATATGGAGAACTACTTCCATACTCCTAACGATCTACTCTTCGATACTATTAAATCTAATGTATTGGTTGTAACTTAAAATAGACGAGCAGTCCCAAAAATTTGTGCCCCGCATATTTCACACTCCTATTGCCAAAACTATGGATAATTACTACAATCCCAAAATTCGATAATCTCGAAAATACTCCAATGTCAATTCCATTAGCGTTTCAAAAATATTATAGAGTAGCCTTATCAAAAAGTATCCTATTCATATATTATGTAAAGACTACAATAATACAGTTCATAAGGATCCATCTTTTATATCAAAAACCAACTCAATGATATTGTCACCAATAGTTCATTATCTTTTCAAACCATTAACAAGTATATATAATACTTAAATCTAGTAAGTAAGAAGTTGGAGTTCAACTAAGATTAATATACTAGAAATTCTGTGACAGAAGACAAGAAATAAAAAAATAGAAATAGAAAAAGAGAAGTTAAGCTCATTCAATTGATAAAGAAACTCAAACTTAAGGATTTCAATTCATACCTATCATTTATCACAAAGATAAGCAATTTCTTTAAAAAATCATCAAATAATAAAAGGAAAAAGAGTCTACACAAATCTAGTTTCAAAAATTGAACAAATAAAATAAAACATCTAGATATAGAAATAGTGTAGATGTCAATAATAACAGATATGGTTCTGCATCTAAAATATCACAATAATCAACTGCAAGAGTTTACGAATCCAATGCTTCAAGTAGATACAATTCTACTGCTACTTAACAAAAAATTATTCGATCATAACGTACTAAATCTTAAACTCAAGATTCAAATAACATTACAAAAGCCTTAGAAAGTTAATTCAATAATTAAGTTGATGTTAGGTAAACATTAAAAAGGTTTGATAGTGGAATAAAATAAAAAAAAGTTAAATGAACTTCCCTTTATATTTTTATTATATTTATTCATTAACATAATTCACTATTGAGTTTAATCATTAATATACTATATCTATATTATCTATTACTATATTTACAATTAAGATCATTTATATCTATAGTATAATTACAATATTAAAAATACAAAATGCAATAACCATCTTTACTATAATAATCTTCATGGTCTAATAATGACGAAGTAACTGTACTATAATTTAGAATGAATTAGAACAAAATGCAGATAGCAATTAAAGCAAAAATCAAGAAGGATCACGAAAAAAGAAGAAACAAGATGAACATAAGTAATTTGAAGAAAGATTGAAAAATATTCCTGTTGGGTTAAAACCTGATCCTAAAGCTTATCCAGAAGAATGGATTAACAAGTGGAGATAACTGTTGCTAAAATAACAAAATAAGAAATGAGATATATAAAATTATATAAATATGGGTTGTTGCTAAAGTAATCCTAATGGTATCTAAGTTTTAACACTTCTTAGACATGAACTCAGCAAGTGAAATGGGCAAGGAGTTAACTGATATTCATTTAGCTGAATATGAACCAAACATTATCAGTTTAGAAAAGAAAATCAAAACTCCTGACTAAATCATTAGAGCCGAGCCAGAGAAAGTCTCAATGAAAGAATCTAGTTACCATAAAGATACAAAAAGTGAAAAATAAGAGGAGGAGTCAAAAAAAATAACTGAGTAACCAAGTGATATCAAATGGAGCATTAAACAAAGTATGTTTGTCAAAATCAATTCTCATAAAAATGTTGGTGAATACTATGCAATCAAGGAGTTAATAGGATAAGGTGGATTTGGAAAGGTTTACAAAGTGACACATCGATAAACTGGTTACATTTTATACTCATAACAGGCATGGTTAGAGCCATGAAGTAGATACTAAAGTAGCGCATGAAGAAAGAAGACTAGCAAAAATTACTTTAAGAAACCCAAATCTTAATGGATATTGACCATCCTAATATTGTAAAGCTATATGAAATGTACCAAGACGATCATTCATATTATCTTATAAGCGAATATTGTGAGGGTTATACATTATTATATAATAAGGTGGAGAATTATTTGAAAAAATTAAAATAGCTTAATTTCTAACTGAGAAAGAAATTGCATCTTATATAAAATAAATTCTTTCTGCAGTCTCTTATTGTCATTCAATGAATATTGTACATAGAGATCTAAAACCTGAAAATATAGTTTTCGATGCTAAACATTAGGGTGCAAATCTTAAAATTATTGACTTTGGAGCTAGTGTTAAGATTGAAAACTCTGAAAAACTTAATAAAAAAATTGGAACTGTATTCATATATATTAATTTAATAGCCTTTTTATGTTGCTCCAGAAGTTTTATATGGATCATATGATGAAAAATGTGATATTTGGTCTATTGGGGTAATCTTATATGTTCTTTTATGTGGATATCCCCCATTCTTTGCACAAAATGAAGCTCAAGTTCTTGCAAAAGTAAAAAAAGGAACATATCAATTTGATTCTTAAGATTGGGCTAAAGTTTCATTACAAGCTAAAGATTTAATTAGGAGGATGCTCTTTTTTAATCCATCTCAAAGAATAAGTGCAAATGATGCTCTACAACATTAATGGATTACTAATAATAAGTCAAAAGGTTAACTAAATAATTAAAGTTTGAAAAAGCTTCAAGATTTCGACTCAAAAAATAAATTAAAATATGCAATACTCTAATTTATTACAGTATAAGTGATTACAAGTTAAGAAAAGGATGAATTAATGAAAAACTTTTAAGAAATAGATAAAAATGGAGATGGAACAGTAAGTAAAGAGGAATTATTAAATGGTATTAATTTTCATTATTTAGCTTATATTAAATTATATAAAGGTGATTAGCTTGCCGCATAATAGATCGTGAATGAGTTATTTCCTCATTTAGATGCTAATGGATCTGGCAAAGTAGATTTTAGTGAATTTATTACTGCCTCAATAAATAAGGATAGATCATTAAGCAAAAAGAAAATTGAATAATCTTTTAAATTATTTGACTTAGTAAAAATAGAATAATAAAGATAGGATGGGAATGGATTAATTACAAAAACAGAAATAAATTAATTATTTGGAGATGAAATAGATGACAATATGTGGAAGGAAATACTAAAGGAATGTGATGCAAATGAAGATGGGATGGTAATATGATAAATGCTATACCATAGATATCCTTAAGTGAATTTATAAATTTATTGGAGAGCAAATTTAAAGGAAAACTTTGATTATAAATAACAATGTGAATAAAATATAGGTTGTTTATTTATAAAATGCATGAACGAGGCAATTGGAAAAATTTTATTTAAAAAGAATTTCAAACTTATTATTATATAAATTTTATTGTTTTAATATATAGAGAAAAATTGAATGAATTTAATTTAGAAATATTCAGATTTATAAAATTCTTTGGGGCTCTTGAATAATGAACCATAATAATTGAATTCAAATGACATTTATGAATATGTTGCAATTGATATTTCACCAAATTTTGAATGGTTGGCAGCTGGTGGTCTATATATTGATAATATTGTTCTCTGGAAGATATCTTGTTAAAGTCAAGCAAAGGTGATAGGAACTTAGATGAATGAAGATTTAGGATAATTAGAATTTTCAAATGATTCTGTTTTTTTAGCAGCTTGTGGATCTAGTACAAAGATAATAATTTGGAATATGAAAGATTTAGATGAAAATCCTGCAATTTTAGATGGACATTAGTCAAGAATTTGGAGAGTTTAATTCTTTAATTAACCTCTTTTTGATATTTTATGTTCTGGAAGTTCAGACGCTTCGGTGAAGATATGGAATGTTACAAATAGATAATTATTGTAAAGTTTTAATATGAATGAAGATAATCCGATATATAGTATAGGAGTATCAGTTAAGAATGAGTGGATTATAATGACAGGGAATGATTAAAGAGCTTTGATTTTAGACAGCAAAAGGTTGAAGATATTATCATAATAGAAAATATGCGAAAATTAATTATATTAAGTAAGATTTCCTTAACATACATCATAATACTATGCTTGTTCTGGTATGGATGATTATGTTAGATTATTATCGAAAAATAAATTAATTAGAAAATTAAAGTTTCCAGAGAATTGGAAATGGCAAATTGAATTCACTTGTTAATCCATCTTAGCAATATCAAGTATAAACTCTATACAGTTTTGGGATATTAGTAGAGGAATCCAATTAAAAGTGATAGAAAACGTATTTTATACTTATCCTTCATTTCGATTCTAGTATTTAGAAAAGGGAATCTGTGCAACAGCCAGCAAATTTATGATAAAATTGTGGATAAAGTGATTATAATGTTGTATATCACTAAATCAAAATTAATGAGGTTCTCCTTAAGTAGGTAGCAATCCAAATCTCTTTTTAAGTTCAACTCTGTATTTCTAATTGACATCATCAGGACTAAATCTAGCTGATTAATAGATCATTATTAGTACCAGGATGAGCATTAAATGTATATGAACCATCTTCAAGAGTATTCTTTAAAGTATATACACGTTTGCCTTCCTCATTCAAATAATACCTCAAATGCATTTTTATTAATTGTTTATTATAATTTTTGGTTTGTTATGTATATATAAGTATAATTAGTGAAAACTAAAAGATATTAATTAATTATTAATGGATAAGACCAAGGAACAGATCTAAGAATACTTCAATATTTTTGATAAGGATGGAAGTGGCACAATAGAAAAGGAGGAAATTAAGGAATTGGCAGTCAATGTTGGCTTAAATTGGAATGATTAGAAGTTGAATAAAGTTATAATTCTAAATATAATAGATCATATAAGCTCTTGATACAAATGGAGATGGTAAAATTTCATTTGATGAATTTTATGAATACTTTTTATATGGAGAATAGAAACAAATGGATAAATTGATATAGAAGAAATTTAAACATATTAAAAATGTTAAAAATCTTCACAAAAAATTGAATTAAGAATATGGTATGTTAATTTTATTTAAGAATCTTAGCACATATCTTTAATAAAAATAATGAAGAAGGAAAATCATAATGTTCTGTATCATTGAATGTTGGAGAGAAATCTCAAAATAAATCAGCATTAGAAATTGCAATTAGAGTTGGTGAAGAGAATAAGAATTTTTCATAATCTCTTTTGAAAAATTTCCCATATGCAGGAGATCATGTATATTATTATATATATAATAGATTGTTTCAATAGTTTTTGGATTTAAATGTTAAAATTCTGATGCAGTTTAAGAAAAATTTGAAGTATTTTTTGAAGGCATAATTGATTTGGCTTTAAATATGATACCAGATGATATCTCTTAAAAAATAGCAATGTTCAAAAACGATTTAAAAATTGAATACAAAGCATTGCCTGATGAATTGTTGGTTCGATTCTATGTGAATAATGAATTAACAGAAAATGTTCTTGTAGCATATAGATTGATATCAGGAATGTTTATTCAAGAAAATAGTTCTGTCTTTGCCAACATAAAACTTTGTAAAAAATTTATAGATAATTAGAATTTTCTGCAGGACTAGCAGATATTGGTGCTTCACCTAATGAGAATATTATAAATTGGGTAGCCAAAGGATTCTCAGCTAGTTTTGATGCCACAGCATCAAGTGATCTTGTAAATTATTTTTATTTATTAATGACAGATCGAATGTGCTCGTTAAGCACATTATGCAGCAATTGGAAAATATTTTGAATCATAAAAAGTCAAAGTCTTAGAATAATTAACACCATTAACATTAATGAATAATGCAAGACTACAATTCAATTTCTAATCATATGATTAATTTGTTTAGGAAATGGAAATACCTGAATTAAATTAAGTCAATTTATCAGTCGCAGTAGATTAAGCAAAAGGAGCTAATATTAATGAATTAATTGGTGGAATTCCATTTGTTGGTGAATTATTGGATATTTTAAGAGTTGAAGGAAATGGTAAATAAAATATCTCTAAATTTTAGGATAAATATAATTGGCAGTGATTTCTTAAGAAGCCTCATTATCTATTACAGCATCAGGAGAAGGAGCAGCCTTGATTTGGGAAAAGCTTATTTGATTTAATATATATTCAAAAATCAAGTATAGCATTTAGACAAATTATAAAATTCCAAAGACGTGTATATAGATAAATTTACTATAATTAAAATAAATCAGGGTCCTTCAGTTGGAGTTTCTGCACCTCCTGATCTAAGTTTGCTGAAAATATATAAGAGCACAACAATTCCCAAATATACAAGACTGATTATTAATACTGTATTAGGTTGAACTTTTAGAGATGAGACATCACCTGAATAGAAATTTAATCCTGATTAACCTCCTGTTTCAGATGATTTTGATGCTAGATAATCTTTAGACTATAATCTTACGACTCTTGCCACCTCCTTATCTTCGTTTCAATGCTTCCTTTATTAGATCTTTCTTCTCAGACATTTTTTATTTTTATTAATATGAATAATGTGCACGTTGTTTAATTAATCAATGTATTAGAAATCATCATTAAAAAAATAGAATAATGATATCCCTGCAAGTATAAAATAATTATATAGGATTATTATCATCTAAATGAAAATTAAATATAAGATTACAATTCAATTTTTGGTTACAATTCATTTGGAGTATTTTTAAGATGAAAATTTAAGATTTCTTTAATATATTTCTTTTAAACCACTTATTAATACTATCTTACCATTAATTGCCAATCAATCAATCTATATATGATTCCCCCAAAATTATTAAGAAAAATATGATAGCAAAATATAATTTTTATAATATTAACAATAATAACATATTCCAAAATGAATTGATCATCAATTATAAAGCAAATAAAGCTAAGAAATTTAATAAAAGTAAATTAAAAATTGAAAATTTAGGTAAACTAATCATAAATATGATATAATCATAATAATTAATCTAATAATAATTTTAAAGAACAGATGAATCAGAAAATTAAATAAGTCCATAAATTAATTTTGAAATAGATTAAAATAAAAAATTATTATTATCCTTTATAAACTCTAATTATTTGAAGTTCATCAAAATGATATTCTAAATGAAACTTATATTGTTGAATGAATATATTCAAATTTATTCAGTAATATATAAGGTTAGATAGTAGAAAATATAAAGGAAGTTTGACTTCAAATTAGATTTTTTAAGTTGATCAAAAGTAATAAAATTATTAATATTGGTTAGTTTTTTAATTAGCAGCAGTAAAATAAAAAAAATAACAATTAAACTTATATAGATAACTGATAAATAGAAATCTTATTAAGAGATTGAAGATTATATTAAATATTATTTTTGCACATGCATATGGACTATTAAATGGATTTGTAAAAACAAAACCACATTTAAAGATCTTTATTGAATATATAGGTTAAAATGATTTAAAAAGAAGTATAAATATCAGAAATCTCAGAAATTATAATTTAGATCTAATATAAAATGACATTAAAGAATGTTAAGACCTTTTTGAGGAATTAATTAAGAAATAAAAAATGAAATTATGTAAAATTGATAATAAAAGTCATTTTTTAATTAAAATTTTATGAATTCCTTTAGTGAGGTCTTGATGAAGTATTTTTGGAGTCTGTTTTTTATCTCGTGATGCCTTTTTTTGATTTTCTATAATATTACTTTGAAATGTTTATAAGTAATTGATATCATCCACTTATATCAATTTATAATCGTCTCCAATAGGATCTTCTTACAGTTCATCACAATCATTTTGAATATTCCATAATTTATGTTCAGAATCCCTTAAGTTAGAGTGTTCATTTTTGAACATATCAGTATGTATATAGGTAATTTCTGGTTATTATTGAATAGTGTGATTCAATTGAACTTGAACTTTATCCAAATTAGGTAATTCATTAACTAAAGGATTTTGAAGAAATTATGGATGATATTCTTCTTCTATAGAAAAATTAGATCCTCTTTTACAGAAGTTTGAAATGGCATTGGAGTCAAGGCAGGTTTCCAAAGTCAAGTAAAAATCATCAGAGTTTTAAGATTTGGATTGACATTTTCGTTAAAGAGGTTTAATAAATTTTCTGTGGGTATATTCTATCACCTGTTTTTTTTATAATTAAAAGGTTTCTTCTTACATTTAAAATATTACTAATCTAACTATTTAATTAATATTTATATATATAAATAATGCAGTATGAGAAATAATAATAAAAATGCAGTAATAATCATAGTAATCATAGAACAGGAATATTTTTTAAACTTTTAGAAAATCTCTTAACAGCCTTAAGTACTAAAATGGCTGTTTTAATCTAGAAAGGTTAAGATCAATATAAATACTCTGGCTGGTTTCCGAATGTAATTTTACATTTTTTTAACTCTTCTATCTAATCTAGAAATTCTTTATTCTTCATAAGATAACTTATTTCTATTTTATGTTTTAGTAAAGAAATTAGAGATTTCTGCTATTTCTAATTCATAACAATAATATTAAGCATAAGAGATGAGTTCTTCTTCACCAAATGTTTAAGAATTTAAAGATACATCTGTCATAATTTTGGCTTTCTATTTTTAATATTAGGGTATAATTTTAGAAATATTGCTTTCTGGATAATAGATTTGATATTCATGATATTTTTCAAAATTAGCAATGGAAGAGAATTCTTTCCATTCTTTTTTACGTGATAATGATTATTTTTTATGGAAATCTTCTAAATATTTATTAATTCTCTCCAAAGCAACTCTATCAAATTAATCATCTTCTGATCCACATGAAATAGTTAATTTTCCCATAGGATCACGTCTTATTATAGTAGTAACTCTATTTGTATTTCTGACTCTACGACCTATTGATTCAGTTTTACGACCTGTATTATCAATTTTACGATGTTTTAGTCTAACTGATGATTTGAATCTGCGATCAAAATTGTCTAATCTATTAATTTAATTAATAGCATTTTTATCATCTTCTTCAGTTTAAATACTTTAAACTTCTGATTATTCAATACTTATTAACATATGAGATTTATGTTCTTAATAATATTGTATTTTTTTTTCAGTATTCATAAATTTACCTTAAATACGAGATATGAGATTATTATGAAATCTAGCATTGAAATCCAATCGATCTTTTCTAACAAAGGAAGACTATTAAACATGTTTTACTTATTATAAGAAAGCTAAATAATGTGATGCCTGTCTAATATCAATCAATTAATTTACACTTAAAAGTGCAATGATGGACAATCTCTGGCAATATGATCATCCATCTAACACATATAACATCTTATGCTTATGGCACTATAATCTTTATCAAATACTATTTTATGTCTAATTTAAAAGTAAGTTTAAACATCATTACTATGAGATCTTGCTAATTTTAAAAAATCACTTGAATTTATAATGAAAATATTAGAGAAATCTACACTTTTAGTACTAGCAGTTCTTTTTTAAGCAGAATAGAAACTAATTTCTCCAAAGAATTCATTCTTTCCTTTTTTATCGACTGTGATATTTGTTTTTTGAAAATAAATATCCACTTCTCCTGATTGAATCATAAATATATCATATGATTCTTATTCAGATTCATCAAATATTATTTCTTAAGGACAAAATACCTTTTCTTTCATTATTGGCATTACTTATAATACTAAGAAATCATATGAATGATTTGACCAAAATATATCCAAATAACCAAATAATTTACCATTTACTTATTCTTATAACTATTTTGATAAATCAACTGACAAAGCTCCTGTTATTTATTATAATACTACTCCTCCATTTCTATCCCAAACATATTCTAAATATTTTCTAATCTTATTTTAAAGTGTCTCAGGAATTTTAGCTTTTTTCATATATTTATTTACTTAACTTAATTTATCTTTAGTTTAACTTGACTTTTCACTTATTTTTTATAATGCAAATCCAATTGAATTCATTGTGAAAGCAAAACCACCACAAGCAATTAATAATAAAAAAATACCTAAAAATCTTTCAGTTGGATTTAATGGACTTATATCTCCATATCCAACTGTTGTCATTGTTGTTACTCCCCAATATAATGAATTTATATATCTTATATACCAATCTGCATTATATAAATCTCCCAACCATGAATTATTTTTATCTTCTTATTATGCAGTAAAATGAAATATACATCCTAATAGATGTGCAAAAAATAACACAAATAAAAACAATTTTCCAAATGTTAATATTGCTGCTAAGATTGAATTTAATTATAATATCTCATTAAATTTATCCATTATCTTTTTCAATTTAGCTAATCTTAATAACTTTAATATCTTTATAAATCTTAAGAATTTCAACAATCTTAATAGTTTTGCACTTTAAATAAAATTTGATGATTCATCCAATATAATATCATATGGAAATGTAGTTGTAAAATCAACCCAAAACCAAAATTAAATATAATCCTTTATTATTGCATTCCTATTCATTTTTAATAATCCATCTTCAAAAATTCCAGTATTAAAATTCAATAGAATGTCAAATGCAAATATTCCTGTAGACACTCTTGAAAATTCTACACTCACATCAATCTCAAAACTTATTTATAAAGGAATACTTATCATCTCATACATCACTAATCCAAGACATAATAAATCCCACATCATTTTTAATGACCCATCAGGACTTAAAATATATGGTTTTTCTATAGTACATCCTTTCAACATCTTTTTCAATAATCCTCTTAAACGCAATTAAAATTTTTCCCAATTAAAGTCTACATATGATAGAGCACTTGATCTTTTCTAAACCAAAATCAATCCCATACTCTTCCTCCAATTTAATTTTTTTCTTGTCTTTTACAATACTTTAAATTCCTTTTTCTATTCCTTAATCTCTTCTTCATCTGAGTTCTCACTCAACACCAACTTGTCTCCTAAGAAATGATATTCCTTGCCTTCCAATACCTAAAAACTTTAGTTGTTAGCCTGCTCTATATACTATCTATGAAGCATTAGTATTTAATTTATAATTTATATATATATTTATAGATCATTACATTTTCAAACAATCTACTTTATAAAAACTATTAATAAATTTGATGTCTTCATTTATTAAAAAATAAATCAATACATAATAATTATTTATAATTCTTTGTACTTGAATAACACAATTATTTATTCATTTAATCAATTAAAAATCATTCATATTATTTTTAATTCATATTTTGAAAGGATTAAATCTATTAATAATAATTTTATTTTTATTAATTTCTTTGATCTTGAGACTACAAAGATTATTGAAAAGTAAACTTCTCTTATTAATTCAAATTTGATTATTAAAATTAAGGAGAAATCATCTATTATTGTTATTAATACATCTACATAGATTATTATAAGAGCATTGCTTAATATTATTGAAATTCAATAGGAGATATAAATTATTACTATTAGTATTAAAACCATTAATATTATTATGCCATAAACTATTATTATTATAAATGTTATTAATATAGCATTTAATTTGATGTCATTTATTATTGTTATTCATATATTTATTGAAACTATTTATTCTTTTCTTATAATTTAATAGGTGTATTATTTTCTGTTAAATTGACTTTTTGAGCAAATCGTTTGATATTGTAATTAGATAGAGAAAACTTTAAAACTATCTAACCATGATGATTGAGAAAATGACTTTCATGCAATCTATTTAATAAGGCAATAAATTCATTTCTATACTCTATAGACAAATATTCATAGAGTCTTTATATTGGATAATTAGCAAACTGATCATTCACTAATTTTCGAAAAGAACTATTAAGATTAACTAAATATTGTACCTTTCAGAAACCGAAACTTCTTCTTCCCATAATTTTAATCTCCATTAGTTTCCAGCATATACTATTGCTTTTTCTGCAACATTGCTACCATACTTATCCATAGACATGGATACAAAGTCCTTTATTATATAATTATTCAATAAGATTCTTTTGTGACACTCTTAACCTTTTTCTAATATTTACTGAATGATATAATTAGCATATTATCTTCTTATCAAACATGATGAATTTTGGATGGTTCTCATAATAATTTCATTTGCTAATGATTTTGTATTAGGATCTATTAATTTTGGAAAGATATCTATAATTTTATTAACCAGTAAGCAACCATATTAATCAGTTGATAATTCTAAAGAATATTAATTTTGATTTAAAATCTAATAATTATTAAAATAATGTACATATTTATCTAAGATTCTTAGAAGTTGTTCTAAATTGTATTCATCAAAAACGTCTAAACTTTTTTAAAATAATTGATTTCCTATTTTATTAGTGTATAATCTTCTTGTAAATTTGCTCTCTTCCAAAACAAAATTTATGTATTATTAATATTAAGATTTAGATTCTGATGAATATAAGGACATAATCTCTAATCCCTTCTATATTACCTTACAAGCATGAAGATCAGTGACTAATTTCTTAATAAAAGTAAAAATTTAATCTAAGATTATGTTTCTAAATTTTATTGGTCCTTATCATATTTTTAATAAATACCTATTTCTATAATTTTCTCTAGTATGTAATGCATATACTTATCTAGACTCAGATTAACAATATTATTTTTAATATAAGTGTTAAATACATATTCCCTTTCTTTATTATTTGCTAATTCATATTCTTATTACATTCTTCTAGAATTCTTTGTGAGCTTTTCATGGGTCAAATAAGAGGACCTAGAATTGTTTAAATTTGATAACGTCTTACATATCTAAAGAGAAGGCTTAAATCAATGAGGGTCGATAATTATCAGTCAACAACACACTCTAAAGTTATTTATTTAAAGATTCGAATTCATCATCTTATATATTTTGAATACTTTACCATCTTTATTGAGATGATCTTGAAAAAGTTAAGAACATAAGACTTTAGTCGAAATAGCATTATCGAATATGCCTGGTGTTGCAGTAGAGTCACTTTTGCTTGGATTACATTGATGAAATTCATCTAAGTCTGAATTAAATTCGATAGGGATTTGATTTAACATTTAATAATTAATAAAGAATTTGATCATTTCAATTATAATTAATTTGACACAATATTTTAAACATTTCTTTTTCTAATACCTATTTTTAAATTGTTCTTTTAAACATTACGCATTATGTATGTTTTAACAATATCTAGTGCTTCACTTTTATAGTTTAATAAATAATTAATAATGAATCTTGAGCAATTTATATCAACTGAAGATGATTGGGCTCATTAATCATATCATGAAAATGATGACTTTGAATTTTCATGTTCCCCAATCATGTTTGGTCGTCCATCAAATAAAAATAAAAATGATTTTGAATTGGACTAAGAAGATTACTTTATAGATGCTCCCAAACTTGAAGAACAAACAGATGAACCTGATTTTAATCAACTTCTTGATACACCTTCTATTCCAATAAAAAAGAGGTAAATTAGGAAAAATCGAAAACTTAAAAATAATACAATCACTATTCTTTACAAAAGAATGTTCTCTGAAATAATTAATGATTCTTAATCATAGGCTGAAATTTAGAAACAATTAGAACATTGTTAAAGAATGAAATCTGTCATTGATGGATTAGAAAAGAAATTAATAAATGTGAAGACCTTGCTTGTTCACAAACTTAAATAAAGAAACTAATGATCTAGCTTCATTATCTAGTTTTCAATCTGAGTTATCAATTAAACTAATTCAAATAATTAGTATAATTCGTTTTCATTCTTCACTTCTTCAAAATCAAATTATTATTATAAAAACATTATTTTCTAAATTAGATATCCCTAATATCATCTTCTTTAAATTACTTACATTATTCCTGAAATTGTTTTTATTAATTTCTTTAGTTAGTCGTTATTGATTGATATTTTTTATTTTTCATATTTACAAATGGAAATAAATTTGAGTCCTCATTAGAATGGAACTGAAAATGGTAGTCTAATAAGAAGCTATTCCACAATTCATTTATTATATGATTTTTTCTATAACATCAATAAATGAATTTTCCCAAAATAAAGTTATTAAATTTTTTTTGAACAAATATTAAAGTAAGAGAATATATTCATTAATAATTATATGAGTTTAAAAACCATCCATCTGGAATTAGTTGATAATTTTATTCTTCTGAACTGTTTATCAATTATCCATCTTACCAATCTCCAAATTTCTTTTTCCCATCCTTACTTATCATTAATCCTTAACCATGTTATTTACCTTCTAACCAATAACCTTAATATTGTCTTCCATCTGGCCAATAAAATATTCCAAATCCACATTTCTTATCATATCTATATTCTCCATCATAATACTTTCCATCTTTCCATTTATATAGACCTCTTCCATGCATTTAATTTTTAGCCCATTATCCTATATATGACTAATTGCTAATAAAATTGATAAATTACCCTACCATCTAACCATTCATACTTTCCAACTCCTTATATCATATTATCTACCCACTCTCCTTCATAAACACTTTATTAACTCCATATATAACAACCATGACCATTTTTTTTTCCATTTTTAAATTCTCCTTCATATATAGATCCATCCAACCATAGTTCTTTACCTTTTCCATCAGATTTCCCTGCTTTAAAATCTCCAATATATGTTGGTCCTCGTTTGTAAATACATTTTCCATTACCTTCCAAAACATTATCAATAAAATTGCCTTCATAAATATCCCCATTAAGAGCAATTAATTTACCATAACCATTTGCTTTACCATTATGAATAGCTCCTATGTAGGTTGAACCATCTTAAAGATTCAATTAAACTTGAACGTTATCAATTTCATCCTATCCTTAATGTGAAAACAATGAATTATATTGTTCTTTGTAAAAAGTTGAAGAATTAGATTTGTTATCTAATGAAGGAGGTTTCTCTAACAATAAAGACTAAATTACATGGTTTTTTTTCATCTACTTCATCATATTCTGGATCAGAATCTGAATTAAATTAATCATTTCGATTCATTTCATCACTATTTACTCCTTAACTTAATTAACATTTTTAACATTGTTATCCCATTTTTAATAATGATCTAATTCTTAAATGTCTAGATTTACTTAATTTATAATAATTAAATGGGGAATGCAAGTACTTGTTGTTCACATCCTGCTATATAAAAATAAGAAGCTTTAATTCCTTAATAGAAAAATATGTTAGTGAATGAAGAGTGTGACGTTCGTGAATGGGAAGCAGATGATTTTGTAAAGATTGGTCTTTGTAAATGAATTAAATATTTTTGATTCAGAAACTCATCCTGTCAAAGAACACAAACTTTTTGATTAGCCATCTGTTATAAGGAGATTGGAAAGTGTTGAAGGACCTAAATTAGGATAACGATTAGAAGTATTTCCTGAAATAGAAAATCAAATAGTACGAACTGTTTTAGGTTAATTACCTCTATTGTTGATACCACAGGATATGGAAAGAGGTGAAGAAAATCCACCTATCAAATTTGATAATAATTTCATTTATCATGGAGAATGGAAGGATAGTCAAAAACATGGATATGGAAAATTGTTATGGCCAGATGGTAGTTATTATGAAGGTGGATTTATTAATGATGAAACATCTGGTTTTGGAAGATTAATTCATTCATTTGGTGATTATTATGAAGGAAGTTGGAAACATGATTAAGCCAATGGCTATGGTAAGTATCATCGATACAGAAATTAAGCAACTTATGAAGGGAACTGGGTAAATGATAAGCAGTAAGGTTAAGGTAAAGAAACATGGCAAGATGGATCATCTTATGAAGGAGAGTATTTTAATGGAAAAAAATAAGGAAGGGGGTTGTTTAAATGGGGCAATGGTAATATGTATATAGGAGATTTCAATAATAATAAAATGGATGGACATGGAGTTTATTATTGGAAGAGTGGAAAAGTATATGATGGTGAATGGAAAGAAAATAGAATGGATGGAGAAGGAGTAAATTAATTAATTTTATATATCATAGTCATTTAATTGGCCAGATGGTAGAAAATATAAAGGTAGTTATAAGAATGATCTTAAAGAAGGATATGGAATATTCGAATGGTCAGATGGACGTTATTACAAAGGAGAATGGAAATAAGGCAAATAACATGGTAAGGGAATTCTCAGAATGGATTAATCTAAAGAAATAACTGCTGAATGGATTAATGGCAAAATGCTTACTGAAAAATAAATTGAATAATAAGCTACAGGTTTATGATACTTTTTTATATATAAAATCATTCGTATACAAGAAATTCTATAATTCCTGGATTCTCAACTTTTCCATCTGAATAATGAAATAGCTTTTTAAATAATTTAATTATTATATCTTTTTTTTAAGCTACTTCATTGAAAAGAGAGTGTGTTAATGATTCTGCAATCAATCCCATCTAAATAAATCCTAAAATTTTAGGATTCGTCAACAAATTTATACTTTGAAAGATATTACAACAATTAACTAAAGAGCTATTAATTTATTAAACCATAATTTTTCCATTTTCTAATTTATTTTTAAAGGGTTTAATTTCATAAACATATAAACCATATCCAAAATCTATTATAAATAAGCCAACAGAAGTCAAAGTTGGATTTTTATGACAATAAACTAAACATAATGGATAGAGTAATTTTTTTAGGGATTATATATAAATATGAGCATTAATCCTGTATTTTTCTGGAGATTTATAAATTGGATTTAATTTGTTATCCTTACTTCTTAGAGTAATTAAAGTAGGCATCTTGACTGTATTTAAGATATATAAAAAATATGTTATTGAACTAATGTTGCTAATTGAGAATTCAACTATTTATTCTATATTTGATATTCCCATAGATGAACAAATAAAAGCATTCATACAAATTTCTAATCCACAAAAGACAGTTAGATTTTATAATTTCATAGATAGATTATTTTTATTCAAATTATGAATAAATTTATTACCAAATATATGAAATTTTAACAGTAATTTATTTTATGTTCTTAAATCTAAAGTTGATTATCTCATTAATTTTGATATAGATTTTAAAGCATAATGACTCAGTACTGTGAAAACATAAACCTAAGTTATTGGTATTGATGTAGTTATGAAGCTACCATTTCTTTAGAATTAAGTTGGAATGTAGTATGGATTATAAAATGAAAATGATGATAGTATTTTATTGAATGATGTATTATTGAATACTTAAAGAAATTCTTACATATTTGGAGTTTAAGTGATCTTAATATATTATTGATATTAAGTAAATTATAAGAGATCAACAAAATTTAAGAAATTACTAATTTATCCAACTATTAATAAAGCAGGTAGACTAATAATAATTATATATTGAATAGTATTTGCAATATTTTGGAGAATATCTGTTGCTAATTATTCAGATTCAGTAAGTAAAATAATTGATTCAGTTCTTAATTGTATTATAGCATCTTATAAGGTTTGATTGAATTGATTCATAATACATTTACGATCATTAAGTTTAATTTGAATAATTGGATTATAAACAGTTTATAAATATGAAATCTAAATTATCAAATTCTAAGATTAAGTAATAATAGTTGAATTTATAAGAGTATTATCATCATCAATTAATTAAATTTTAATGAGATCTTATATATTTTTACAATTAAATTTAATTTCTTAATCAAATAAGAGATTTAAAAATTGAATATTATTATTGGTTTAATTAATTAACTATAATTTCATTATAGGTTATGACTAATAATAACAATAATCATCAAAACATAAGGTATTATTTAATTCATAATTAAATAAGTTAGGAATTTATTATTGAGATTATTGTAAAAATTGACATTAATTATGTTGATTTAATGTGTATCCATCTTCACAAGTATAACATATTCTATCTACACAATATTTACAATTAGATGAACAAACTAATATACAATTATCACATAAAATATTAGAGTCACATTCTTCATCTTCAGTTTTGATATAATCTCCACATTTACTATAACAAAGATTATCATAATCACTTACATAATATCCTTTATCACATTTTTCTGGATCATAACATTACATTTTTGATATAATCAATTTTTCTGGTTCTTCACATTCAAGACATTGACCAAATTAACAATTTAAACAATTACCAAAACAATAAAATTGACAATCAAAACATCCATCATCATAAATATTATTATTATCATCACATTATTCATCTAAAGTTTTAATTTAATCACCACAAATAGGTTAACATGTATCAAGTACTGGATAATATCCTTTATTACATTAAAGACAAATATTATTTAGACAATGTTTACAACTCTATTTACATATAGGAATAGTATTTATAAATGATTTATCTTCAATACAAATGGAATTAATTAAAATAAAATCATTTTAACAAACAATACATTATTCTTATTTACAATAAAGACAATTTTATTAACAATTAAAATTATTTATTTAACATTATTAATTATATGGATTCCATTTAAAATTTTATTCACATTCTAAACAATCAGATTAAATTTAAAATTTACAATATTTAATAAGTTAATATATATTAAAATTGTTTAATTATTATTATTATTATAATTATTAAGATTAATTAATTATTATTATTTCACATTATTTTGTTTATTAATTTAAGTTATAATTTAATTAACATCTATAACATATTCCATAAATACAACTTATACATCCATAATCACATATATATCTACATTTATTACAATTTTAATGAATTAAATCATCACATTCTTCATTACCATTTACATAACCATCTCCACATAATGATATACATTTATTATTAAATATATTTAAAGTATATCCTATTTCACATAATGTACAACCCATAATAGTACATGTGACACATTCCTATTAACAATTTAATTAACATTAATGACATCCATCAAAATATATATTATTACCATCATCACATAATTCACTTGTTTTTACTATTCCATCTCCACATATAGGAACACATTTATTTTTATTTGAAATCAATGTATAACCAGATCCACAAACAGAACATAGATTATTAGAACAAGTAGTACATATTGGAGAAGGTTAACATTGCCATTAACAAGTACTACTACAACCATCATTTCCAATAAGATTACCATCATCACATTATTCAGTTTCGAATGTATTAGATATACGTAAACCATCTCCACAAATTGTACTACATTTATATGATCCAGTTACTGTTTTATAACCAGAATTCAAACAAATATTGCAAACTTTTCCATTAGGTGTACATTCTAAACAATCTGATCTACATTTAAATTTACAATTGTCACATCCATCATTTGGATTTGAATTTGAATCTTCACATTCTTCACTACCAATTATTACACCATCTCCACAATGTTCTATACATTTATTATTTATGATATCCAACATATATCCATTTACATTACATTCAAAACATCTTCCCATTTAACAATCTGAACATTAAGATTGACATTAATAAGTACAACCATTGCATCCAATTGTTGTTATACCATCATCACATTATTCTGTTCCTGTTACATAACCATCTCCACATATATCTGTACAACTACCACTATTACAATTAGGACAACTTAATGGACATTAATATTAACAATTATGACATCCATCATTCATAATATTATTTAAATCTTCACATTATTCATCACTCATTATTATATTATCACCACATATAGATTAACATTTATAATTAACAATTTACTGACCACTTAAACATACAGGTGTATAAGTGCAATTAATATTAAACCATTAAATTGTACCATTGCAATCAAAATAACATTCAGGAAATGATAGATTTTCAATAATAGGACAATCATTACAAGATATAGAAATACCACTATCAAAATATCCAAGATTGCATTTACATTATAATTAATATAAAGTTTTAGTAGAGTCACATTCTAAACAATTGTTGTAGTTTGGTCCAAAACATTCTTTACAAGATAAATGACATTCTAATAACAGATACATATTATTATATACCTATACAATCACCATATGATAAGTAATAATGACTTTTACAAAGACATTAACCATCACTCTTCAAATCATAATTTTTTACAGTATTACAATTAGTACAATCAGTTTAAAGAGGTCCATTACAAGTTAAACAACTATTATCACATTTAATACAAACATCATTTCCTGATTATTCATAAAAAGACTCTTCACATTCACATACTCCATTATTAGAGTATCTTCTGTTTATTTATAAACAAACTATACAAAAATTATATTGTAGACAATGTTAACATAATGGATCACATTAATGACATTATTAATCTCCAGTATCAAAATAATAGCCTTATGAACATGTACATAAGTCATTTATTACAACTAAATTATTAATACAAGTATCACAAAGATTATAATTTCTACAGCTACTACATAAGATATTACAAGGATTGCAATTATAATTATAATAATATTCATTTGATAAACAATCTACCTAACTAAATTTAGCTGTATAATAATTAGAATCCCATGAACTGCATCCAATTTCAGTAGAATCAGTACACACTAAACAAAAAGGAAAACATTAGTGTACTACTATGTAGTAATCTGAAATACCACAATATTCATGTAATAAATCTCCATTACCTTGACATTCAATAGTGATTGTTAATGAATTTGTAGAATGAGATATATACCAATATTTATCAATAGAATATTCTGTTGGACTTCTACCAAATAAATTAATTGATAATGGCCCTGCTGTAATTACTTCTTAACCATTTGTATCAAATTCTATAATAAATTATTAAGCAAATAAATCTCCTAAAATTATCTTCATTCTTATTGAAATGGCATAGTGAGCATTATTAATTGAATAAATAGTATTAAATTTAGCATTTGTCCAAACATAAGGTCCTCCAAAGATTTTCTTAGTATATAAGCCAAATGTTTAAAAACCTGTAAGAAAATTAAAAAAATTTTATGATATCAATGTGAAATATGTTTCAGGATCTTACTTAATATTATAATTGCTAAAATCTGATACTAAATAAGTAGAATAAGGATATTCTGTATCATAAGTAATAACATGAGTAGTATTCAAACTAAGTCTATCATTTTACATAGAATTTGTGCATAATCCCTAATAAATATAGTAACCAGCTATGCATTAAGAGCAGATAAAGTCTGATGTACAAGTGAGACATTCTTATTAACAAGTTCCAGCCACTATTTAGATTTAAGTAACTCCCCAAACTGTAGTTGTTATTTACATATTTCCTTAGATTCGCATTATAAAATCACCTGTAGGAATGGGACAGATTATAATCAATGTATATAATTATCCAGAACCAACTCCTGTACATGATTAGGATGTCTTTCTTAATATATATCCATTATGCATAGTGATAACACTATTTGAATTATACAATTATGCTATATAATTATTATTTATAGTAAAGAATATGCCTTAATTTAAGGGTATAGTATTATAAAGATACAATACTACTTTGATTCTCAATTTATGTTTATATTAAGTGGGTTAAGAGATTTTCTTTTCCATACCTTCATTTCCTGTTAGTAAACCAAAATACTGAGAACACTTTAGTATGGTTGTGAATCCTGATGGATCATATTATCTTATCCATTAGACATTAGGTGGAGGATTTTTAAATTAATCATTGAGAATTGACTATTCTGTGATATCTACACAAAATTTATCAGAGTTTGGGTATTTATTGATATCACAAATAGGAACACAACCTAATGATGGATCTAGATACTCTGCACATTAAGTACACAATCCAAATGCATTTAGTGTAGTTCCAGTAAAACAAGTTGAACAACTATTTTAATTAGTACAGGTCCTACAACTCCAATGACATTTCTCAACAGCAAATATCAAATTCCTTATGACAACTTTACCATTAGCAGACATATTTGTTATTAATAAATTTCCATTAGACTAACCTACAATTAAGACTTTTTTGGATATCACTTGATATTATTTACTATCACAGAATTCTGTTGAATAGGGATATGTTGTTGGATTAGTATATGTTATAGTAGCAAATAAGACATTATTATATTTGACTTAAATAGCTTCATTGTTCCAGGTTCCCATAAAAAAGAGATCAAACCACACAACAAATTGCACTTTAGGATACCCGTAAGATAAACCACGATACATTTATTTGTTGATTGAATCTAAATAATTCATAGCCAATCCTTCATTTACGCATGTATAATAATTTGGAGATGCTTATTAAGTCCAGCCATCTAGATTACAACCTGCTGATCCACAACTGGGTGTTTTAGCATATAAACTAGAATGAATTACTAAAAGTTCGCATTATGCATTTAGTAATAAAAGCCAAAATATCATAATATAATAAACTGATTTAATTTATACTCATTAATCATCTATATTATGAATATTATATACAATAGATTAAAGAGGCTAAAATTGTAGTTTTTATTTACACTAAGAATTATTGTAATAATTAAAGTATATATCATAAGATAATTAAAGATTCATTTATTTCATTTACAGGAAAATAATAGCAATTAAATTAGATCAACATAACACTACATTAATTAGAGAGAATATTATATGAACTGATATCATTATAATTATTATTAATAAGTATTAAGTTATAATTAAAATATTAATTACTAAAATAAAGATTATTATTGGGAACTTTAGGAAAATTTAGATTTATAATCTGGTTTTGATATATTTATAAATTAAGTGTGATGTAAGTACATAAGACTTTTCTGACATTTCATAATTACTTTTGTGTATATTGATATTATTATTAATAAATCATTTGATTAAAATATTAAAAAAGTCTTTTTATTTTATTTAATGTAATAAAGTCATATACATTTTCCAAAATTAATCGAGTAAACTTATTCTTTCACAGCCAATACCAGAGGACTAAAAGATTTAATGATAAACCAATAGATGACATAACAATATTATTATTAGATAGATATTATAAAAATATTGGAGGATACATTGGATTTTTAATGTTTTCAATCTTTAAACAAATCAATAAATTAGACTAAGATTCTTCAATACCACTGAAAAATCTGAATTTTTTATCTAAATCTTCCATATTTGTTTGAATATTAACTAAAATTGCTTAATATTACTTATCTTTCTTATTTTAATTCTTTTTGTATAATTCTCTTTTGGAATATATCCAAAATATTTTGATATTTCTAATCCATTCAATATCATCAAATAAATTAAAGATTCTAAATATTTATATTAAGGTTAAATAGATTTATTATTGATATTTTTTTCAAAAAGTGTGAAAGTTAATCTTTTCCTTCAAGTATATTATACTTATTTTTTTATTGTTTTTTTATCATTGAAACTTTATATTTTGGTAATTTATTTTAGTAGTAATCAAAGGGTATTAATTAATATTCTCTTTTGTAGTCTTTCTATTAAGTCCTTTGATCTCAATAATATTAAACCATTCTTAGACTTTTGTATCAAATGTGGCTTCGATTACTTTTGAATTATTATTCAATTCAAAGCGTGTTTCATCTTTTGATAATTTCAATTTTATTTATAATTTTATTTGATTTAGATATTCTAATATCAAATATATGAATTTGAATTCTTAATCTTATTCAATATAACATGATTCTGCAAATCTTATTATAGTATCAATTGACAATTTGAGATCCCAAGTTTATATTAAACTTGATTTAATTGGTTTCATAAATTTCAATTTCTCTTAAAAAATCATTATATAAACTATTTATTATTTGCAACTTATATTTATTTGCAGTTTTACAATAATGAATAAAATCATTCAATTTAATTGAATTTTTAATCATCAAATAATATAAATGTCTTATAATTTTGGAAATGTTTAAAGGCTAAGATTATGAAAGATAATCAAAATTTATATAATACAATTCCAAATTCTAAAAAGAATTTTTTAAAATTTTCATCTTGTTTTTAAACTTCTGAGAATTTTAAAGTTCATAAAATTCTAAGATAAATTGCATTCAAAATTTACAAACAAACTATTTTAAGATAAATAAACATTCTTAATTAGATTGATAACACCATAAAGAAATGAAATACTAGTTATAATTAACTCAAATATTACAATAAATTATTACATTAGAAATATCATATAAAAATTTCTAATTATATTAAGATTGAATAGAATGTAAAGAGAAATTATTAAATGAAATCATTTCTATTAACTAAAAATTTCAATATTAAAGTGATAACTGATTAAGTTAATTTGATATCTTCTAATATTCTTCTTCTTTATATTAATTATTCAACCATAATAATGGTTTTTTCATTTATAAAATTGGTCTAATAATGCATGGAATAGATTGGCAAAATGTATTCTATAAGTTGTTTTCTCTAAGCATATAACCTTAAATTAAATTAAATTGGTATAATAAATTTTGTTTAATAACTCTACAACATTTATAAATTTCATTTTGTCACATTGTCAATTTTTTTTAATAGTTTATCTGCTTATTATTTCTTAACATCTCTTGCCTTTATTATTTTCTTCATTTTGCTATTCTCATTGCTTTTACTTGAAAACATGAACCTATCTACGATTATGCTCAATGCAAATATCATCCAATATGAAATAAATGAGTAAAACATAATTCCTGTTATGCTAGAAATATCTGGTAATTATTCATTAATTTTTTCCATCAAATAATTTAATTAATATAAATATGGATTAAGATTAAAGAGGCCTTTCACCATAAACTTCAAAATCATCATCCCATCAGAATCAAGTATCAAGGTCTAAAGAATTTCAATTAGATTTCTTTATACAAAAGAAATTTATATCTGAGGATTTGAAATCTATTTTAGAGGAAGCACAAGTACTATATAAAATCTAAATAAGCAAAAATATTAGATAAAATCTATCCATATAAATTACAAGAATTAAATTCCAGAATTAGATGGTGTAGCTTTTACAATTGATGATTCTGGAGAAAATAAAATGAATGCTAAATGTGATGCTGCTCTTTATATAATTCAATTATTATAGGAGAGATGTAAATAATAAATAAATATCATTCTCTTAATACCAGAAGGTATTTATATTGTAATTTTAGGAATTGTATCCTTTTTAATTGGCTCCAAAGGATCATAGCTTGCAAAAATCATTGAAGAAACTAATGCCAAAATTACAGTAAATCAACCAATTGTTAACTATTCTCCTAGAACTGTTAAAATTTTAGGTGATTAAAGCACAATTAATTGTGCTATTAGAGCTATAACCAAAAAAATGTAAGAAAGAGGCATTTCCTCAGAAGATTATAAAAAGGTTCCTGAAACATTGAATCCATAAAAAGTTAATGTTAAAGTAAATATTAATATATTAATTTAAAGACAAAACTCATTTTTTAATCCTCTGTTATTGATTACATTATGAAAAATAAAAATGAAATAGAGAATAAATATGAAGTTTAAATCAAAGCAAAAGAAAGCAATGAAATTAAACTCACTGTAATCATTTTTTTATTATTAATATATAGCAAAAATGCAAATTAAAAAGAGAAGATAAAATAATTTAATTATAAGGTTCTTTATCCAATGTTTAAGATGCTTTGTCATCTTTAATTAGAAGAGTCTCGGAACATTTAAAAAAATAAGAATTAGAAATCAAAATTGTTATGCCAGCTAGTTATGCTTCAAAATTAATTGGAGCAAGTATTTTATAATATATATATATTCTTTTTAGAGGGTTGTTAAATTAGGGAATTAGCTACAAAATCAAAAGGAGCTTAAATTAAAGTTTTATCTGATAAGGATGAAACTGATCATGATTATTGTATACTATTTCACTAATTATTATAGATTGTATTGTTTAAATTGCAGGAAATTTATAAAATAAACAAGATGCTAGTAAATTAATTCTATAATAAATTGAATGTTTCAAGAATGGAGGACCAGTATATTATAATTTATATATATTAGATAATGGATAGTGGTAAATTTTTAAATGAGGATAATTAGAATTAAACATCTTAATAATCAAACAATTATGAAGATTATAAAATAAAAAGGTTTTAAATATATATTTAAACTTTATTAGATAAAAATCTAGTTCATAATCTGAGAGAAATTCACGTTCAAGATCATAATCTAGAAGAAAACATAAACATTAAAGGAAAAGATCTATTGAAAGAAGATCTGCATCATCAAGGTAATTCAAATTAAACTATTCATACTTTTTAGTTATTCTAAAAGAAGAGAAAGAGCAAATGTCTTATCTACAAAATTGATTATTTCTAATGAAGTGATGCATATTTTAGAAAGATATAATAAATTAAGAGAATATAAAGAGAGATTTAATGTAGACACATAAGTTGAGGATTCGGTACTAATCAAATCTAATAAATTAGAGAAGAAATTCTGAATCTTATTTGAGATTAAAAGGCAAATTAAAAGATTGTTTAATTGTAATTGAAGAAATTTTGAATGAGCAACAAAAAATCCTAAGAAAATGAATATTAAATATAACAAAAATTTAATAATAATAAAAATAACCTAAGAACTTCATAATAATTATTAATAAACAGATTAATAATTAATAATACAAAGTCTTTATGCCATAAATCTACACACCCATGTGATATGATAAATTATTATGTTACCAATTTTATGTAAATTATTTCTCTAATTTTTTGTCACATCTTTAATTCTCTATTATTCTTTATTTAATATTTAAATTTAACCTCTTCATATCTTTTATTATTCATTTCTACTCACAATCATCTACTTAATTTATAATTGTAAATACAATTTATTAAAATAATATATACAGTTATTTTAAATATCAAATATTTAATCTCTCAATTAGTATTTGAGCTCAAATCAAAAGGATGCATCAATCATTTTTTAAATTTACCTTCCTTCTTTTTATCAACTCTATTTTACTAATTTTTCATATTATTCATATAAAAATTTATCTAACTTTTATTTGAATTTATTTTTGATTGAAAAATTGTTGTAGTTTAAAAAATATAAAATTATCTTTCCTGAGAGTATTTTTTCTTTTAGCTAGTTGAGTACAAGCATTCTAATGGTATATCTATATATTCTAAATAATAATTTTAAGAAAAACATAAATAATAAAAATTTTCATCTCTTCTCAAATTTAAGATGGTATCAAATTGTTGATCTAGTACTGATTTTTTATTATAATGTTATTCTTCTCCTTTTTACTATAGGATTTTTTTCAATTGAAAATTCCTTTCTTTATTCTTTCCTCCTTGATACAAACTTAATTTGATTTAGATCTTACTATTCTTATTATAATATCGAAATTTCTATGCTATTAACCTATTGATTGAGTATTTTCTCATTTTTTGTAGCAGAACATCCCATTAATTTATAATTATTTTAATGATGATGCTTCTAAGAATTTATTAAATATCTAAAATATCAATTATATATTTTATCAATAATTAATTAAAGCTCAGAGATCATAGAAGTGAGAGTTTCTAGTCATTAATGTCTCAACATAATTATTTTGAACATGAATTTATAAATATGCATTTTTAATCAAATATTTAATCTCATTATAGCTTAAGTATTTATAGAGTATAAATGTATGAATTTTATAGGACTCTTAACATTGTTCATGGTTCCCGGTTTGTTCTGAAAACCTAAAGAATAAACTACAAAAAAAGAAATTTATAATCAGTTTTAACCTTTCCACTTGAAAACTGATTAATAAAATATCTAAAGTAAAATTTCTTATATTTTTCTTTATTTCTATATTATCTCATTTTCCTTTTTTATCTTAATTCCTCCTATTTACTGTAAATAATTTTGTATCTTTCATGGGGGTTAAAGTATTTACGTTTTTAGAAAGATATTTTTTAATTATTGGTTCTGCTGCTAAACTATCATATTATTTCTTGGATTAAACAAATATGGAAATTACTTATGAGTATAAGTATTTTCAAATGATCTTAAGTATTTTGTAAAATGATAGATTATCAATTAAGAATTAATTAAAATTTTTAAATTATAATCCAAAAAAATATTCTTCATACTACCTTGGAGTGTAATCAAAGAAAATAATAACACAAAAAAATGAGCTAAAATTAATAAGGAAAGGTTTGCTGGATGATTGAGATTATGTAATTATAAATGAGAGAATTCAAATGAAAATTAATTTATCATATCATCTATGAACTAAATATACTACTATTAGAAAATTTATTCTTTTATCTCTATAATTGTTATTCCATCAATTAGTGAGAATCAAAAAATAAATATATAGAAAGCAAATTTATTAGTCTTCACTAAAATGTATTAATTCTTTCATAATAATTTTTAACAAATTTTTATTTAATTTATATTAAAATCAAAAATTTTATTCTATGGTGGCCTAATATACATGATTGATTGATTTTTTATATTTTCATAGATTTATAATTATGATAATTGTTTATTTAATATTATTACAAATAGCCAAATAATATCAAATACCTATTTATGCATTCTGAGATATTAGAGAACTTAAATTTTTAATTTAATCATTGAAATATCTTTTACACAATTGATTAATTATATTATTCATACTTTTTAATGCTAACAAATTTTTTAGATATTTAGTTAATATATTATAGAATTTATAATTTTCATATTAAATATAAGATTATATTATTTTTAATATATTTAAGGATAATTATTATTAAAAATGAAACTGGATAGAAATATTTAGTTATTATTGAAGTTGAATTTATGTTTACTAGAATAATAATCAAGTATTCTATTATAATTGATTTATAATTATTTGAGATAACAAATTATTAAGATGATATTTTAAAAGCATAAAATATGACCTTGATGTAAGATTTAAAAAATAATAAATGAATAATTAGTTTCATGCATATGGGAAAAATAGTATAAGAAAGCATAACTTGGAGAAAAGATAATTACAAACATTATTTTTTCCAAACAAATGGAATTTTAATTACTTTTTTAATATGATGAAGGATTGTCAATAATTTATTATAGCTTGTATATCTTAAATAGATCATTCTTGGATAATAAAATTATTAGTATTATTAGCAAATGGAGGAAGAAAAATTTATTTGATTATGGATTGTTAAGAAGATTAAAAAAATGATGAATTATTTTAAGCAGTGATTTGTGAATTGTTAATAGAAAGTCAATTTAAAATAAAGATAGTTGTTAACACAAAAAAATATGAAAATTTACCAACTAATTTTTGTGTAATTGATGGAAAAGTTTTAATTACAACTTCTGCTAATTGGACTATAAATTCATTTAAAAAGAGTCATGAATGGATGATGATTGATAAAAAATATGATAATATTGTAGAAATGATAGAAATATTTGAATAAATGTGGAACTAATTTAAGTTTGTTACATTTATTAATGAAGACATTGCTTTATTAGATAATGATGATTCCTAATTTTAATTGGTATTTACATATTCATAAGATTGTGTTGTGGATATATTATGATTTGATATTAAAATAATTATTGTAAATTATTTTTGTAATAGTAGCAGTGTTAAGAATTATGAGAATAAATATAATCTTTAAATATAAAATTATTTAAAGAAGATATATATAATTAATTTTTTCATGCATACCAACATAAGTAAAATCTTGACGAAAAATTATAGACTATAAGAAATCTCTATCTCTTATATCTCTAAAGTCTTTTCTTATTTTTCTATTAATAGGAACTAAAGTAGTGTAAATAAATAATTAGGAAATATATTGGAAATATTATTATATATTATCAAAATCTACTTCCTTGGTATTAAATATTTTGGTAACCCATTCCAGATAAGTATTATAACCAGGCATTGGCATTATACCATTGTTAGTAGTTATAATATTATTGAGCATAAGAGTTAAATTAAGAATAACTATTTTAGCCATTTTAAACCTCCTGACCTTGTTTTACATTCGAGAGAGTTTCTTCTTTTATATTTTTGACAGTCTCTCTTTACTCTTGTTCATTTGATTTCTTTATTTTTCTAATTCTCTTTTGTTTTTTCCCAACACGACCTTCATGTTTATATAATGATAAAATGGCTTTGCCAGTGGAAAATTTAATTCCAAATTACTTGGCTGCCTACTTAATTGTACAGACTCCTTATTATACTTTATTAATAAAGGCTAATCTTGTTTCATCTGAGATTTTTGAATACTTCATTAAATCTAAATTTTTTCTTTTATTTTCTTCAATTATGGGGAATTATTTGGAATTTAAATATTATACAGATCCAATTTAATTGATATAAAGTATTAGGAATTTGTTGTAAGAAATTTTAAATTAAATTTAATTGAGATATTTGAAGGTTAAAATGTTTGGATTCCTAGTTGTAGGGCTTAATTTATTTGTTATAATACTAATATATATTTAAGCAAGCTGTATTATTATTAATTTACATATTTTAGTTAAATTAATTTAAAAAAAAATTCACAATCCAATTAAAACATGATGAAATGTATATTGATTAATTTAAACTCAATATCTATAAACTTGTTCATATTCTCCATATAAATGAATTAGTTTATTTTTAATTAATGTTGACTCTGGTTTCCAGAAGAATCTTAAATTAATCAATTTCAATCTGATATTATCCTTTGTCAATAAAATTTGCTTAGTTTCTAGTATTTTATCATATTAAAACAAAATTTACAGTATTATTTTTTACGAAAAAAAATAGTTTATTTCATCAAAATTTTCAGTTAAATTTAGAGTTTACATTTAATACTTTATACTCTCTATCCAAAACTATTTGTTCGTAACCCAAAAACTTCTCTCTTACTTTCCTTATAAATATCCTTAATTTTAATTTTAATATTGTCTTTTGATCATTATAGGCTCATCAGCTGCAAAAGTTGGCCAATCTGATGACTTAAATGAAAAGTTTTAATTAAATATATTTATTTAATCTAAATGAGTTCATTTACAACACCAAACCAGACTTAATTTGTTACAATAAGTCCCAATATATTCAATCCAATAGAATAGGGAAAATATATTACATATTTAAGCTGTATAGTGAGTAAACTTCTTATTTAGGTTAAAAGAATTGAATTATATTTTATTATATGGTTATTGAATCGATCGAAGAACTTCTCCTGTCAATAGATCTAAGATAAAAAAAATATTTGTGTTTTTACTTATACTGCTTTAGTATAAATGGAACTATTTTTCTCTAAGATTTATAAATTTCAAAGGTGGCTATTGAAGATTCTTTTATTTAGAATTTAGACCTTAAGATCTTTATACATTTAATATATAAATAATAATGTAAAATTTCATTAGCATTTTAGACAATTGACTGCTTGATTGGTAGGATAGATGACTAAATAAATTTCTAAGCACTTCATGCAATAACGATAGCTAGGAACTGATATTTTTGGAGGATGCTATTTATATCCATGACATTGAGCACAAGGATAAGCTTTATTACAACAAGCAAATATAGGTATTGTATTACATGGTTATCTATGTTCACAATCTTAAGTATAGATGATATGAGGGAATGTATTTACATTTTCTTGAATTTTCTATTGAGATTCATCCAAATCTTATTCTGTCTGTCCATCTGTATGCATAGAATCAAAATGATTGTTAAATTCATTTTTAATCTCAGGAAGACTTGCCACCTTGTCCAAAGCTTAACTTACAATACTATTCATCATCTATATTTCTTCTTATTTAAATCCTGGTATCTTCTATTATATAGTATTATTATTTTGAATTTGTTCTTTAATTTATTAAGATAATCCATCTAATCGTTATTATTTCATTTCAATCTTTTGCAATCTAATAAGATTAAGATCTTGATCTTAGATAAACATTTCTTTATTGTCATCTAAAGCATACATTATATCAGATTCTAATTGAGGAAAGTATGTCTACCAAGTCAAATCTAATTAAATTGTTCTTTTTTTGACAGCTAAATTGGTTTATGTAGCAATCTGTGTAATTTCTCTTATATGTTTTCCTTAGATAAACTCTATACTCTCAAAAAGTTCATCTTAAGTCATATCATAAATATTCTTTTTTATGAGTTACTCTACTTATTCAGTCAATCCATTTTCTTTATTTTCCCAAAAGAGAAAACCATTAACTGCACATATAATTCCTTGTTCTATTAATTTAAGCTTTTATAATATTTCTTTTGTTAATTACTCAAACTTTTATTTGACTTCTGAAACTCTTTCAGGCATTTTTTGAATAGAACCACATTATTCCTAAAACTCTCTATATTTTTCATCAAAAAGTTTACAAAATTGTTATACTTCCATTGTCTCATGATTATTATGTTCTTCCAGTAAACAATATGCACATCCTAATCGTTTTTAAGCTTTGCATAAAGGATGTTAGCAGATATAAATTAATTTATTTTTTTCATGATTCTTTTTATCACATACAGGTTCTAAATTTAAACCTAAGTATTTGATAACTGATCTTTAATGCATCTCTGTTCCTTTAGCAACAATAGATGAATGTCTCTTTTGCATTCTAATATTCTAAGGTATCTAAACTGCTGAAGATGACATTCTCTTTGTTGTTGGACTAATACCAGAAGGACTGTGTTGAGATGGACTCTGAGAACTACGATATGATTACTTAGCCCAATCTCTTCCACTTTATAACATAGATTCTTATTGAATTTCTGTTGTCTTTTTAGTGGGAGATTTAACATTCTGCTTTTAAGTGGTAGTTACTTAAGTTTTAGTACTCTTCTTCATTCTCTAATATCAATTTAGAATTTAATATATATATATATATATATAAATAAAATTAATAACTTATAATTTCAATAGGCAATACTTTATGTCTAAATCAATTATGCAAATAATTTTGAAGCAGATACATTCATCATTATAGTATTCTCATCATAATCATGATGACCTTCTACTTTTCCAAATAATGCAGTTTAGAAATCTTCTTCTAATCTTGACAATTTCACTGCCTCTTCTACTTCCAAATGATTATTCCAAATAAGTAGTGCTAATATACACGATTTTAGATTTTCTATTTTTATTAATATTAATACCAACTTTTGCATCTAAACTCACTAATTACCAATTATTCAATTCACTCACTATTGTTTCAATTCTTATTTGATCTTATTATTTCAATGGTTCAATATTTAATCCAAAATTTGTTTTCAAATGTAATCCAAATTTTTCATTAAAAATTTTCAATTATGGATCTAACTTCTCCTATTAAATTTTATATAATTTAGTATCTGGATTCTCTCTAAATAATACAGTATCCCTTTCTAAATAGCTAATAATTGATTATTCCATAAATTATCTTATCCTATCATCAGCTTCAATATCAATTGCATTCTTAGCTAAATTTAATAATGGCATAGTAGTTGGTCTTATATTATCTGTTTGCATATTAAATTCATGAGCAATAAATGATGCTAATTGAGGGGATGGCACAGCTAATGTATTTTTACTAGGAGTTTTAACTGTCTTTCCATCTAACTAATTTTGTATAATAAATAAATTTACTTTCACTAGCCATTAATGATATGGATTAGTTGGATTTGTGGCCATTTCAACTGTTGCTTCCTTATAAAATCTTTTTAATTATTTTGGCTATTAGACTTAAACTTATTCTGAAAATCGGAATCTAATTATTAATCTTCTCATTAAATATTATATTTGAAATCAATTGCAATAATGTAATATGCTTAATATAATTGTTAGAACTAAATCTCAAAATCTATAGGATATTTATATTCAAACCCTAACTTAAAAGATTCCCTTAAAATCAATAATATGGATTACTACTTCTATAATATACTTATAGATGAGTTCATCATTTTCAAAACTTTTTACAATTTAATCATTATTTTTAGATTAGAATATCCCTTTCTTGTAATCATTCTACAGTTTGGTTTAAAAAGAATCAATAGAATATTGACTCCATTTCATAACTCTATTACTTGATAACTCAATAAAAGAAGTATTAATTTATAGATATTCTATATATATATATATGTTATGATTGTAATAATGCAATCATAAATCCTATTTGATTGTAATTGAATAATCAATTACAGGTTTTCCAGGCTGGTTCATTTGAATACCATTGTTCAGGAAATTATGAATAAAACAACATAACTTCATTTTTGAATCTTAGGTATTCTTTGAAGTTATTGGCTTCTCCATTCAGAATGAAGAGAGACGCTCTTTAATTCAAGAACCAAACCATGTATGACTGAAAGACACATTTCCACAATTTTAATTAAGGTGTATCCTTTTAATCTATTATAAGTTAATTTTTGAGGCTTCTAAATCCATTTATGTTATGTAAGTTTTTTTGGTAATAATCTATAAAATGAGAGGTTTCTTGCTGCAGTTCCATTTATAGAAATTCAACCTATTTTCCTCTTCTCATAGATTTCACAGCTTATCTTAAAATGTTTCTACAGATGTTTTTTTTGTAGTCTCTTTTAGAAGGAGATGATTTTGATTTTTTAAACTGGTTTTCCTCCCAATTCACAAACTTATCTGTATCCTAATGACTACCATCTGTGTCATCATAAAAGATTAATGCTGCTTCATTTACTTCATGATAACTTGCCTCAAATTCTTGCATTTCAAAATAGTATGATGTCATTTTGACACCTGATTTATTTTTATTTTAATATATACTTTTATTAAGTCCAGGATGAGAATAAATACTGAGATTTTGTATTTTTAATTTTTTTATTTAAATTCATTAATTATATCATTATTCTATATAAAATCAGAACCTCTTGAAATATAATATCTTCATATATTATTATTTCATAAGAAATTAATAAATGAAGTTAAAAGTAAGAAATATAAAACTTAATTATATAGTTAACTCAATTGAAGATAGTATATATATATTAGATAATTTATTATAAAGTAATTTTGTATTTTTGTTATTAATAATTCATCGTTTTTTACAAAACTAAGATTCTTCTATAAGCAATAATCAAGAATAAAACCTATAATCAAACAGTACATTTTCTTCTTTTCTCTTTTAACTTTTAAAATTAATTCGAAAATCCATTAAAATTCTGTTAATTAAAATAAATAAATTAGTTTGTGATTACTTTAAGCAATCTAAAATGCTCCACTAAAATTGAAATCGTTTATTGTCAAGAATATTTTTTTATTATGTTCAGATTATTATCTAGATCAGATTATAATTAAGAATTGCTTAAGAAAATTAACGTGACTTTTACAAATTTAAAATATAGAATTAAATACTCCTTTTAAAATTTGATATAATATATATTTTATTTTTTTAATATTTAAATCAAATATGTAAATTAATTTGTTCGATTTGTAATAATGATCAAATTTTATTCATATAATGGGATTGAATTAATGTAATTTATAAAAATTACAATAAATAAGAATTGGAATTATATTACTAAAATAATAAGAATTTTGAGAAAATTTATCTTATATATAATAAAAATATTATTTTGATTATAAAATATAATGAATATGATTAAGAATATTAATTTAATTATGACTTTTGCATGATTGATCAATTAATAATTATAAATCATGAAGAGGTATAGTTTCCCACTTAATGCTCGAGTTCTGCGACCTTTTATGTAGCAGCAATTATTAATTGTTAGATTTGACTTTTTTCCTTTTTGATTTCAGTAATTTGGGACTGTAATTTAGAGTTTTCATCTTTTTATGTGTTGATAGCCTAAAAAAGTTTCATAGTTTTTTACTTATCTTAAGTCTCTTAACATAGCATCTAAAGTAGGTTAGGTTGTATTTTTGATTTCTTCATTGTTATTTGTGATTCTCTATTTCATTAAATGCAATTCCTATTTCAATTAGTCAATCTCATGTTTATAACTTTAGAGTAATTCATTTGATAATTCTGTGATGTTCTATTATAATATGAAAATAAAGTATACATTGACTAAAAGTAAATGATTTTTTGCATTAGTGGCTGATTCTTAATCGAGTTTGGAACTATGAGGTTATTGTACATCCTACATTTTTATTAAATAAAAATATATAAATAATATTAGATTAACAAATTGATAATGGGAAATAATTAATCATGTTGTTCAGTTCGAATAAGACAACCTACAAATACATTAGATAAGAAAGAAGTGTTTCTATTATGTGATGTCTTAAAACATTCCTAAGAGGACAATCACACAACCTACTTGGATAAACAATGTTTCGAAAGAATATTCTAAGACAATCCTTTATTTGGAGAATAAGTGTTTGAATATTGTTCACATATATTATAAGCTACTTAATTGCCCCTTGAAGGATGTATTAATATACGTAAGAGTTTATATCACATTCTAGTTTAGGGTATACTAAGTACTTCTGACATAACACCAATATTACTATAGATTTGTATGGAAAACTATGATGGAACAATTCAAGTAATAACAGTTTAGTAGGCATTCCAATTCATAGGAGTAAGATATATATTTGATAATTTAAGTTAATAACATCTATTTTCCTAACATTTTGTATAAGGAAATAATAAATTGATGCACAAGTGTTAGAAATTCTTATCCATTCATTATTTAAAGAAAAGTAAATGAAGACTAATGAATTTTTATCAATAATTGAAGCTAATTTTCCATACATTCAAAAACTGATACGATTATATTTATCTTATCGATTATTATAGAAACCATTTAATTAAATGAGAGTTGCAAAGATAGATAAAGATTCATTCAGTCTTAAATATGAATGGTTAGCAATAATGGGTTTAGCTACTTCAGAATTGCATCGTCATGGATAAGTGACATTATTATATCAATCTGCTTTACAATCAATTAATTTATAAGAAATATTAATTTCAATGCAATAGACTTAAACTTTATTAGTAGTTACATTTTAAGATGAATAAACTAATAAGAAATTAACTTTAGCAATTTATAACAAACGTTAATGGTAAGTAGATTGTAAAGAAACAGAAAATATTATTGCATTTCAAATATCACCAATTTTTTATATATATAGAAGTTAATTTAAAAACTATTTTAATAATAATGGTTTTGGATTTTCACTTGATTAAAAGACTAATAGATATTTATTATGGTTAGGAAATTAAAATAGTTATTTTTAGAATTCTTAAAGAGTAAAATTATATATAAATTATTAGTTATTAACAGTTGAAGTTTGGAGATGTGAAGAATTATAATCTAAATTAAGAAAAAGTGTAATGGATGAAGATAGAACATCTACTTTAAGTCCTAAAGAATAAAAAAAAAGAGTTTCTTTTCGTTTATTAGATGAAAATTAACCTTCAAGAAAAAGTAATTCTGTAACACCTATTACAAAAAAATTAAATTTTATTGAAAATGTTCCACCTAAATCATAACCACCTACTCCTATGTAAACTTTGTAAAATATACTATTTAAAATAGTCAAATACAAACTCTTTAAGATGATTAAGAAAGTCCAAAATCTCCTCATTTTAATAGTGATAATCCTCCAACATTTAATAATCCTTAAGCTTAGGTTTTGAAATCTTATCCAAATTCATAAAATTTAATTAATAATAATATTTAATAATAAAGTAAATAATAATAAAATCGTCCATCATAATCAATTATTGAAAAATATGGAAATGGATAAAGATAAACAAGAAGTTTTTCAAATAATAATGAAGTTAGAAAAAGTGTAGATGATATTCTTAAAAGATATGATAAGAAATAATGAATCTATATATCTATGTATATTTTATATATATATATATATAATCATAATGAAATTTCAAATTCATCTTGACTATCTTAATTTTAAATATCATCTATTTTATCTTAATTTTCAAGTATAGAATTATTCATAATTTCATTTTTATTTATTTTAGAATTTTCACTATTAGTTCTTTCATTTAAATCTATTTCAAATTATTTTGATTATTATTATTATTATCTTAATTATTTGACTAATTATCTACTTTTTTTAGTTTTCTATTTATTAATATGTTTATGTTTTTTACTTTTCTTTTTTACTTTAACTTCATAAACTTGATTGCAATCTGAACATTAATTTTAAACTTTTTAATTATTTTGAGATTTAATTTTTTTAATATTTTGCTTAATATTATCTTTGGTTTAAATAATTTATGATTTAGGAGAAACATTTTGTATTTCATCAATTTCTATACTTTCTGAAAGTTAAGTATTTTCATTTGTACTTTTTGCATCTTGATCAGTTTTTGAGTTTTATTCATGTAATTATTAAGAAAGTTGAGCACATTTTTCATATAATTCTGCAATTGTTTAAAGATGAATTGATAATGGTACAAACTTCATTATAAGTAATTAATTGTCAATATGATATAAAATGTCTCCCTAAGATTTATATTCTATGAAATTCCTTATATTATTTAAAATTCCTGTTAAATTTTTACTATTTGTTAAATAATGAAATAAATTACAAAATATATATAGCCATTTCCCTCCATTGATTATGGAGAACAATAAAAAGACATGGATGAAGAATCCAGTCAGATTTGGATGTATTCACTTTAAAATGAGTTTCGATTATACTAATTTACTATTGTTTAGTCCACATTCTATTACAATACTTTAGTGTGCTTACCTACTGGATTAGGCAAGACATTTATAGCTTCTATGGCAATTATTAATTTTAGTAGATGGTTTCCTAAAGGTAAAATCTTCTTTTTGGCACCAACACGACCTTTAGTAGCATAATAACATGAGGCAATGAAAAAATTTGGAATTGATGGCAAATTATCAAAAAATGATAGAACTTATCAATCTTAAATCTATTTCTCAACACCTTAAACTTTAGAAAATGATTTGAATGATGATTTAATTCAAAATATAGTTTTAGTTGTTTTAGATGAGGCTCATAAAGGAGTAGGAGAATATGCTTATACAAATATAGTAAAAAGACTCCTTTATAATACAAGAATTATAGCATTAAGTGCAACACCTGGTAATAACATAGAATAAATTCAATAAGTAGTAGCAAATCTTAGAATTGCTAAGATAGAAGTATATATAATGAATATATTATGTTATTAGTTAAGAGATGAGTATGATCCAGAAGTCATTCCTTATTTAAAATTTAAATCTATTGAAAAAATTGTTGTCTCATTTGATAATTGTTAAATCTTAGATGATCTAAATAAATAGATGTAGCCATTACTTAATATCATATTAAGTTTTGGAATTCTACCTGTAGAGTTAATTAGAGTTTGTTCTAGAGCAGACATATTTAGTTATGGTGCTTGTTTTAAACTTCGTGAATTTTTGACAAATTCACATATATAATTTTAAATTGGATAATAAAATTCAAATAAAGTATTTGAACATTTATCTCATCTACATAAATTATCTTATGCCAAAAAGATATTATTAGAATAAGGAATCTAACCATATGTAAAATATATGGAATTAGATGATATTGAAGAAGTCCATCCTAAAATTTATAAATTAAAAGAAATATTTAAGAATCATTTTGCATAAAATCAATCTAAAGTTATTGTCTTTACAAATAGTAGAGATAATGCTTAATTATTATGTAATCATATCAATTAAGTTGAAAATGTCAAAGCATCCATCTTTGTAGGTTAGGCAAGTTCTAAAAATCAAGCAGGAATGAAATAAAAGGAATAATTACAAGTTATAGATGTATATTCTCAATACTAAGTAGAAATTTAAAAATGAGTTAAATGTTTTAGTAGCTACATGTATTGCTGAAGAAGGACTAGATATAGGAGAAGTTGATTTGATTATATGTTATGATAGTGGATTTAGTCCAATTAGAATGATATAGAGAATGGGTAGAACTGGAAGAAAAAGAGATGGAAAAATTATTGTATTATTAACTGAAGGTAAGGAGGCAGCTGATTATGAAAAGTCAGTCAATAAATACTCTAAATTAATTAAAGAGCTTAAAGATTATAATATTAATTTATATTCAAGTAATCCAAGAATCTTATAATCTTAACCATAAATTTAATTTATTGATGGAGATATTAATTAAATAGATATTAAAATTAAATAATAAGATCCTATTAAAACTAAAAACAAAGATCTTAAAAAATAAAAAAGAAGTATTAAAAAAACAGAATAGTAAGAGACTAAATAAATTAAATTAGAAAAATTCTTTACTAAAACTTTAAAGGATATTTCAGAAGAAACAGAAGAAAAATAACATACTTAATAATAATTTTAACCTTTATTATTAGCATCAAATTCATTGACTAAACCAAAAAAAGTATAAGGTAAAAAGATTCAATTAGGAAATATTGATAAATTCATTAAACCAAAGGAATAAGGAGAAAATATTTAAAATAAAAAGTTACAAATAAAATTATAATCAAAGCCACCTGTTGTTGAAGATAAGTTTGTAATTTAAATCAATCAAAAACCTTAGTTATAAGAATAAGATTTAACAGTTTCAAGTTTAGAATAGTTTAATGAACTCCTAAAGATGCAACAGAATTAAAATTTTGATTAAGATTCTAATACTATGTTTCAATTTTTAGATAAATTAGATTTTGAAAAGATTAATTTGAATAGCTAAGAAATTCATGAATCTGATTTGGATCTATCTAAAATAGCTGAAGAATATATATCTGATTGATTACTTTATAAATAAGTAAATTTTTATTTTTCAATAATCTTATTTTTAATTATGAATAATAGAAATTAGATTTTTCTAATCAAATTAATTTATTATTTAATTAAATTAAGTATATCTTTTTTTTTATTATTATAAAAATTAATGATATAATTTTGATCAAATAAAAGATAAGATATATAAATTATTATAACTTTACTTTAATTTTAGTATAATTGAGAAAAGTCAATTCAAAATTTTGTTTTTTTAACTTAATTATCTCTGTAGAATTACTAATTTGCAAAAGCTTAATGAATTAAATATTTCTTTTCCAAATTACATAATTCTCTAGTTTAAGGTGAATAGGATGGAGATTTTTTTGAAGAATTCTCTTGATTTTCAAAACTTTTAACATTTGAGGGTCTTGTAATTCCTGATGCAATCATGTTTTGACTAATTTCTATTTAATTTCTACTATTACTAGATAATCTATCACATTTATGATTAGAACTTAAAATATTACTGTAAAGAGAAAATTATTAAGCTTTATTTATTTTTGAGATATTATATTGATCTACTATCATTTTCTTTCTATTTGACCGTTGATTACTATATTAATATTCTTATAAATTATAATCATCTTCTTTATCAATATACTAATAATCAAAAAGTACTCTTTTTTGATCAATATCTTATTTATAATCAATTAAATCTTCAATTTATAGAGAATTCCCTTCTTCAATTTTATATTTTTCATTACTACTAGGTGAATAACATTTGTATGTATTAACTCTTCTTGTTATTTTTGGAAATTGGATTGGTGAATTATCTTCTTGTTTTCTCATACTTTCTGATTTTATTTTAATTTAATGTGGTATAATATTTTTTCTTTCATACAATTTCTCTTAAGTTATGATTTCACTTTGTTCTTTTGTATTAAATGGTTTTCCAATTAATGTCATTTTTTTTCTATATACTTTTGGATTCTTGATATTTAATAATTCGTAGAGTAGATAATTTTATTAAGGGAAAAGTAAATCTGAAAGTTTTTAAATTAAGATGATAAAATTATCAAAATTTAATTCCATATTTTTATCAGCATTTTGTTTATACATTTATACAAGATAAAACTTAGTTAATATGAAATTAGATTTATTATTATTTTTATAATTGTAATTAATTTGCTATTTTCGAAGATTATTAATTTTACCACCTAAGAGTGATATTAGATTGCTTGAGATTTCTAAATCAATCAATTTGAAATCTTTACAAAATATCATAAACTTTTATAATATCATAGTGTTGGAAAGTTGCTATAGTTTTTCAAATGTTTAGTATTTATTGGTTGTAATTGGTTATTTACAATAAAAATTATAGATTTCTTTGAAATTTTTGAGTTAATCCTTATCTAAATTTATATATTCTTATCTAATTTCATTTAGTTATATATTATTGACTGGGCTTGAAGGTTATAGCTAATTTTGATTGGCATAAACATTGAATGAATGAGCAAATTTCAAGTGTTTATTATTCTTTAGAATAATTTATTTATGTTTTTCAAATTATTATTGTTAGAATTCTGATATGCTAACTTCATGTTTACTTTATTTTATTTCACTTTCTTTATATATTTAAGATTCCTTTAGATTACATTAATAAGAACAATCAGGATCATTAATTTCTGTCAATACTTGTTTTAATTCAAGATCAGAATCCATTTATCTTTAATTATCTGAAGACAAATCACTTTAACTACTCATTGGATTTACAATATTTTCAGAGTTTTTGTCTTCAACAACTTAAGGTTTCTTAATATCGAGTAGATTGAGTACACTGCTGTGATTACTATTTGGAATAGACTCACGTTTATAATAAGGTTTTAAGTTTGAGTATTGTTAATTAGGATTTTTTTAATTTTGAGGAGAAGTAAGATGATTAATAATCATTGATTCTTCTATAAAGTTAGTCATAATTAATATTTTTGTTCGTTAAAATAAATGTAGACGATTATTACTCAATGCCAAGATTTAGATGAAGAATATAGATAACTTGTTTAAACAATAAATAATATGTTAGACAATCTGAGTATAGTAAGTCTTGAGTTTGTCAATTCAAAATTAGAATTTTTAGAAAAATACTCTAATACACTTAAGTCAAGTTAAATTGATGCTCGAATCCATAGAAATTCATAAATGAAGAACTTAATAGAATACATTAAGATGCATTGGAAATCACAAGTGAAATCTCTTGCATAATCTCCTCCAGCAAAGATGGCTCATCATCGTCCTAAATATTCATTTAATGAGAAGGCATTTTCATGCATGCTATATAGTAATATGAATTAAATGACACAATAAAAAACTCAAAATAATGAACTTGATTAATCTTAATAGAAGTATACTCTAAAACACAAAAACTTAAATATTTTATAAAATTTGATAGGAAAATAAAAGTTTGATTAAAAGAAGGGAAATGAAGATATGTTCAAATTGCTATAAAAATGCATGCAATTGATCTCATAGAAGTAGGAATTTTAGGATGAGTATAAAAATTTATAAAAAGAATATAGAGATATAGTTAAGAATAACTAGAGTTTGTAATACAAAGTTAATCTTGATTAAAAATCATCAAAATTGAAGGAAAATTTAAATTAATTAATGGTAAGTCATGAATCTTTTAAATCATACCTCAATTCAGTTATTTGATTAATTATATACTTATATCCTTTTTTTTATTATAATTATCTCATTTTTGGAATAATTTAATTTTAATTAATATTTCAATTTATACTATTTACAAAATTGAATGAGCAATAATCAATACAATAATAAAAAGTTGGCTCCATTTAAAAAATAGAGAGACACTCTCAAAGAAGAATTAAAAAGACTTTAATAAGAATAGACAGAAGAAGAGAAATAAAATGATTACTATTTTGATGAGATAGGTCGTGTTGAAAAAGTATTTAATGAAATATATATTAGGAATATGAATCTTTAATTAAATCTATTGAAGAATATAGTAAACATAATTAGACATTAAAAACCATTCGTCAAACAGATCAAAATCAAGGTTTAGATGAGACAATAGAAAAAAATGTGATTTAAACATTAAATCTATTTCTTCTTAGCACTAGCAAAAAAGAGTATTTAGAAAGCATTTAAGAACAAGAAATATCAAAGAAATAGTTATAAGTTGGAAATTTGATTATGACTTAAAATTAGTAAAATGAAGACAATTAGAAATAATAAGAAATAGAAAAAGTTATTCTTGATAATGGATACTATATAACATTAAAATAGGGCAGTAGCTCATTAATTGTTAAAGTACCAGGAACAGTAAAGACATTTAGAGAATTAAAACAAATAGTAAAATCATGTTGTATGGCTGAAGAATAAGAGATATTTTATACAGATTTAATGGGAAATATACTTTAACCTGAAATGAATGTTTTAGATCAATTATATCCACCAATTTATGAGTTACTTAAAAATTATTAACCTGTTATATGCATACAAATAGTTAAATAAAAAAAAGTAAAAGAAGATACAAAATAAACAGAAGCAGATTTTGGTTTTGATGGAGGTATTTAAGAATTAATGACTAAATAACTTAGATCAATTAGAAGAATTGAAAAATCTATTAATTGGTCTAAATATATGGATTATTTAACTAGTTTTAAATATATATTAGAATCTATATTGTTTTTATCACTCTTAATTCTATATGCAATTGTAGAAATAAATGAAAATGATTTTTTCACTAATTCTCAACTTTTATTGAATTTAAACATGAATATGGCAATCTAAAAATCATACTTATCTCCAATAAATAACATTTCCTAAATTATTTCTTTAACAATTCCAAATGGATCAGCTCATGGTTTGAGTCCAACATATCCTCTATAATCAGGATTGCTTGTATAAACTCTTGTTGGTATAGTAAATATTTAATGATAATTAGGATGACATTAAAAATTGTGATATATTAAATGAAAATCAAAAATAAATTTATGTTGATAAAAATTAATCGTGTTTGATGTTTGACATAACATAAACAACAGATTTACAAAAGAATTACTCAAGACTTAATTTTGATCCTAAGGTCTATAATGAATAATTTGGAGGTTATGTTTGGGAATTCAATATGAGTACTAGGTAATCATTTTAAGAAAGTTATGATTTGATGATTTCTGAAGATTGGTTTCAATATAATGTAAAATAAACTCAATTCATTTTGAATTATTATAATAGTCCTACTTAAAGAGTAGTATCTGTCACTATCACTACTCTGTATCTTTTCAACGATGTACATATATTTTTTAAATGATTTCTAGCGTTTACTTAATTATAATAGTTTTTAAGCAGAAGGTTTTAATTTAAGTGAACTTCCAGAGTAAGTAATAGTTAGTAAAAACATTATATTTTATTGTTCAATAGTTTTATTAATATCCTCATTTTTTGGTAAATAATCAATTATATTAAACTAGATTTCTTTGGTTTATATTTTGAAGGGACTAAAAATAATTTAATTTTAATTTACTTACAATATTTAGAATTATTGAATAGGAAGAAAAAGATGGAGGCTAAGAAAAAACAGATCAATGAAAATGATTAAAGAGAAATATAATAAAAAGAATTGATTGTAGGAGAATATGTTATTATCAATTTAAAGGTGATTTATATTACAATTAGAATTCCACTAATTTTTGATTATATTTGTAATTATTATTATTTTATTTTAGATATCTTATGCTAATTTGGATTAGTTATGAAGAATACTGTTGATTCTTATTATGAGGAAGCTTTAAAAGAAATAGATTTGAATTCAGATTAATATTAAGATACAAATGCATTAATTGAACCATTGTTTGTTGGTAGATTGTTTTCAGCTATTTTGGTGATATTTTTGATGATTTCTATAGTAAGATTTATGGGGAATTGGAGTCCATATTTAAAATGTTATGGATTGGTTATGATAAGAGTATTTGATATTAATTCTAATTTAATAGTTTAATAAAGAGTCTT